TTTCCTATTTATTAAATAATTGCCTACAAAGCCTGCTCTCTAAATAATATTGATCTTAAAATTGTAAACCCATGTTTTTCAAAGATAAATGTGTTATTCCATATGTATGGCTGGTTTTAAAGAATAAAACAGCAGGATATATATTTCTGATGGTTTGATCGTTAAATCGTGCAAAAGACCCATTAAGAAAATGCTGCTCCTGGCCAGTCCAACAAATTCTTGAATGTGACAATAAAATGAAAATAAAACTGTCTGGGTCAAATATTAGTGGGGAGACATTTATTCAATTAAAAATAAGGTGTAAGTTGAAAACTGGCAACTAGTAATATAGGGTAGCCTCGGGTCTGACTGACTTGTCCTTTACTGTATATCAAAGGTCATCATATCGTCCATCAAATAAATCTTCTGTCACGGACAGTTCTGATTAAGTTCTTTGTTAGTTAATCTTATACAAATAAGACTATTATTACATGAACCAATTCCACTTTTAAGTAAGATGGAGAGTATCTGTGCAGACATATATTTTTTCATGACTTATTAAGATCAAATTTCTTAGCAGTAATTCATCAAAGGTTTCAGTGAAACTGGACAAGTAAATTCTTGAGGTCAGCTCTTTGGAAGACTTGTAACCTTTTTCTGGAATTGCTAACGTAATGTTGAAGAATAATGCAATAAATATGATTATATTGACTTTATAAATGAAATTAAACCGGCTGCCAAGATAACACCCAGCTTTAATTGTGTAATGCCTATAGTGGTTGTTGATCAAATATTAAATATTATTTGTTCCCCAAACGGATATAGCTGGGGACTTCCTTGATTCATTTCTTAATCACATACTGCAAGATGTTGATTGTGATGAAATGCAAAGATTCCTGCTGATAGCTATAATGGTGGTGAGTTGTAGATTGAACTGTTGCATGTGTTATTATTGAACACAGAAGATTGGTCCATGGAGTGTTATCATACCATCTGCTGTGTATCTTGTAATTGTTTTGTTTATTATTGAATATACATATAAACAGTCATATTCAAGAGTTTTTGATTTGAAATCAGTTACTGATGTAAATTTTCCAGATGAACTGGGACAAAACTTTATTTTTTTACTTTAGGTCATCTGAAAGACTAATAAATGTTTTCAACAACTTAATTATACCTAAACGATACTTTTTTCAAAAATAAAGGCCTCACATAATTTATTTATGCCATCACTTGGAGAAATCTTAACCTCCATTTACTCCATGTCCCCAATCTTTACATTACGCAGTATAAGGAGTGTAAGTACATATGTTCACTCTTGACAATTGTATTATACTGCTTAAGATTCCTCAGTAGTTTCTGTGTGACCTCTATCATATCTCAAGAAGCATACATGGCATTACACACAAGAATGTCCTTGAAATCATTTTGATTGGCTGATATTATGAACTTCAGAAAGAAAATTTCCAAGTGAAGTGGTTCCCGGGACCTCTTATAGTCCATTTGAAAATTGTGGCAGTGGGAATTGTCACTGTGATAACATATTTGAAACTATGTGGGCTGTCAACTAGGCGGGCTTCAAGTCTATTGAAATGCTGGTTACCTCTAAATTGATTGGTTTTTGCCTTTTTTTTCATAGACTGGACAGTGGGCCCAGCAGAAATTGAATCTTTGGTAGAAGAATTTTCCAATACAATTCACATAACCTGCAATAGCAATGCAGGCTCTCCTGTCAGTAGTACATAATCAACCAACTGAATACTTTCGACCATGTTGTATCTGTATGGTAAATCTCACGACTGCGCAAATATACTATACAGCAGTCCTGATAAAACCAATCAAAGTATTGATTATATCTATGATAAGTATACAGTTTAGCCTTCAACATGCACATTCTTCTTTAGATTTGTGTAACTTAAGCCTTATTTTGTTGCTAGACAAATAGATCTGTTGCTATATGTCGAAGGTGGACATTTCATTCTTGACTGCAATTAATACTGCCAGTCATTTTGTATGCCCACAACATGCTTTAATAGTCATGTGAAAGACACCTAATGGTGTAAGGTAATTAATGTAGAAATGTATAACTGTGTGTAACTTTACTGATAAGGCTACCAATGCATTATGTAATAAAATATTTATGAATATTGATTATCTTCCATATTAAGCAAACAAAATATTTAATTATTCATAATTTCATAAAACCTGGGATAAAGTTGATAATTATTTATAGAAATGCCTTAAGAAACGTGCTCTTAGCTATGCATTAAATTCATTATTTCTAAAGAAATATGTTAGTTAATAGAATTACAATTTTAATGAAGAAAAGGGTGTGTCAAAATAAGGGAATGGCAAATGTTTTTGTCATCCAAAAATGAACACTTTGTTGGTGGAAAAGTAAGTGTAATGGTATTGGTTGATCTCTAAAGGTTAACTAATAGTACTGTAGACAGCTATTAACTGTGTCATAAAGTAACTTTACCTACACACATTATACCAGCTTATTTTACATACAGTAGTAAATTACATACTTGACTGGATTCTACTATAATACCAGTTACTATATAGTATACAACTATATAAATAGGAGTAGAGACACTACTACTCTACTATCTTATGTATTAATTATATCGTCCATCAATATCCCATGGTTGATGGTCTATAAAGAACCAGAATATTGATTGGAACATGTGAACCATTATTAGACCATTATCAGATAGGTTGCTAGCGGCATCCAACAGGATTTACAATTCTCTGGAACACTAACAATATCTACAGGATGCTCTAACTCAGTGTATTTTTATTTCTTATTAGAACAGTTGTGAACATTGGTGAATATGTTTGGTTTTTTTTGTCAGAGCTACTGACATTGTGACTAGTACTGTTTACATTTTTACGTGTCAATCAAGCACTGACCTGTCAAATGACAACAGATATTGAAACAAGTAAACTGGAGTAAGTAGGTTCATATCCTGTGTGTATTTCAAGTGCTATATCAGGTTTTCTAGGAGTGTTGTCTGTTTATCAGACTAAGAAGGCCAATATTGTTGTCGTATAGAAGAGGTTTGATTTTTGATATTGTACTTTTATTTATAACGAAATGGAAGCATGAATTATATTCATACTGAGTTGGTAGTACCCACTGGGTATGGTACACTAGGCAATATTTGAACTTTAGTTTGTTAGATACCTGGGGTTCACGGTGGCTAAGCGGGTAAGACGCTGGCTCGCTAGCCTGGAGGTTGGGTGTTCGATCCCTGCATTGGCCGAGAAAGTTCATCCAGATTTTCCGGCATGGTTCCACCGTGTCAGTGATGCACGTAAAAGATCCCTTGACAGTTGGAATTCGATATAATAGTAGGCCGTAGTGCCGCTGTCCGGGCAAAATTTTCCTCATAACACACTGTATGGTGTATGCCTGTCTTCATTAGCCCAGTTCGGAGCAGAACAGTAGGATGTTAAACCCCATTTCATTTTATTTCATTTGTTAGAGACCAGAAGAACCATGGTCCTTATATTCAGTGCACCTCCGTGCTGGGAATATATTCAGAAATGTGTGAGAATTTCCTCAGTTCAAATCAGCCGTAGATTTTTTCTTATTTTGATCCTCAATATTAGGGTTAGTAGGACTTCACTTACAATATTAAAGAACCACTAGCTTAAACGAATAAAATTGTAATAAACTAAGGCCTGTTTCCAGTATTAATAGGGAATCAATCAAATTCTTATCAAAATACATTTCCCTAAATTCCTGCTAATGGTGGTTGTTTTAATGTGACAGAGTTTGTTTAGATCGGAAGATTATAGCAATGAAATATGGAATGTCTTAATATTATGGTTGAGATTAGTATAAAGGTTTATCTGAAATGATACATAAGTTACTGATGTTCTTATAATTAGTAACATCTTAGTAACATCTTTATCATTGATGCTTTATAATTCCCTGGTGTGTATTGTTATCTTGATATTTCAGTAAAAACTTTTTAAGTTTCGATCTTGACTTCTTGTAATATCTCTCTTTGCCAGCCAGACATTTTAGCTTAGAGCTTGTTTTTTTTTTCATTTAGTTAAAATAACAAAATCAAATACTGGTTTCACACGCCTAACTTTATCCATAATACAATTTATTTGAAATTATAGCCATCAGTAACTGAGGTATCACAATATTGAAACTGTCTGGAGGAGTGCTCTTATTCTTCATCAGATTTGTCTGGTGGTAAATTGTATCATCAGATCTGTTTGTGACAACGTGTATGTAAGGGCATAAGAATTATAGATTTATTGCCAGTTTTCTAACATACGAGTGTAACATTAACATACATACAGGTACAGGTCAGATATACATAACTTTCCCATTGAATCCCAGAATATTAGTTGATTGATTCACCAGAATGAGTCAGTACTCTTTGGAATTCTAGTTATTATTATTATTAATGTAATCATTAATTATAAAATAAGCAAACTCTACCGTGACATTTTTGTTAAGAAAATGGAAGGCCTACAAAATATACAATGCAGTACTGAGCAGGCCTGATAATGATTAGATGAAAATGTGGAACCAAATAGTTAGTAAATGATGAGGAAGGTTTCAAAAGAGGCCTCTCTATGACAAATTGAGCCAAATTGGGTGCCAAGTCAAACTGGGGCGTCTGAATTCAAAAGATTACCCGCAGTTCAAGGAAGTACCACAAGGTCCATGGTACCACAAGTTTAAAATTTTCTAAATGTTTAGGTTAAGGATTTCTTGCCTTAATTTTGGTCCGTCCCTGACTTTTTCACGGAGAAAGTTATTCTTGACAAAACATAGTTTCAGTTTAGAAAGCTGAGATTAACTGTACTTCTACCAGTATTGTTGAGACATATTGTGCATAACAATCACTAATTTAAGACTATTTTCTGTTTACTTACTGTACAAGTACAATTGTGTGGGAGAACTATTAGGTGTACACCTACGATCTCTTTGATATAAAGTCATCATATAAAGTCACTTCAACTCATTTGATTTTTTTCTTGTTTTTCAGCTGATGATGTGACGTCAGGATGAAGATGGGTTTTACTGTACGTAACCCGGTGTTGTCATGTCTCCTAACAATAATTCTTATGTGGATTAAAGGAATTAGTGCACAGAGTAATGCATGGACTTTAAATAATCCAAGTGTATCGTATATTGGATTTTCACCGCAATATTCAACAGGACAAAATCAGCATTTACAACTGAAATTTCGAACTCGACAATCAAACGGTTTATTATTCCATCATCACTTTCAGGAATATAACAAAGATGAATTTCCGTTATTGTATCATTATCAATTATATGCCGAATTAAGACAAGGATATCTTCGTGTCGGACATCAGGTTAATCAGTATTCACAATTAGCAACGTTAGGACAAGGTAAGTTTTCTATTACTATGGGTATGTTGATGGTCATGTTAACTTAGCCTACCACTACTAGAAGTAAAACCTAATGATGGTCCCTTTGTGTACATTCCTACGCCATTTGTATTCCTCTCATCTTCAAAAGATTTTCTAAAGAATTTGTAAAGTGACCAAGTAGGATATCTATTCTATCATCGATTTGTCTGAAGATGTCTTAGCAATAGACACATCATGTCATTATTGATGCTTACAAAAGCACATTAAGAGCACCCTACTGAATTTACCATTGAAAATAAAGTCACGAAATTAGTGACATTAATTGAGAGAATTTAGAATGAATGGAGTTTGAATGATTAAATTGAAGGAAATGAAAATAAATAAGATATATTAGAAATAGGGATGGTGTACCTGCGTACACTAGAGAGATAAATGACAGACACTATGTAACTAGGATATTGATTTTTGTACTGTTAGAATATGTCATGTCATCCTGCTCTATTAGATACTGGAACCACATTTCTAAGCAATTCTTGGTTTAAAAACATGTCATATCCTCATGGTGATATAGAAAAACATTTTAATATAATAATAACCTACATTAATTAAATAGAGCAACATTAGATTGTTTTTTTTAGGCTCTCATATATAATATTTTATGATGTTCATTGATATTTTAAGTACAATGATTTGTTTTGTTTAGAAATATTGCTTTATTTTGATAATTACTATCATCTTTCAGTAATTCCACTGACAATGTTTGACTCCTCTCAGTGCCAGGTTTGGTTTTGCCCTTGGCATGAGATTTGAGAGGAACATCATAGATTACTTATTTGATATTTATTTATCCCTATTTTACATCTTAGGCCTACTGAGTACTGTATCATTTAAATTCTGATTTTACTTACAAAAATGTCAAATGAACGTCACTTATTTTATAATGAAAGAAATTAAGCTACCAAGCCAGACTGGGTACCCAACAAACCTGCTACATTGGTTGTCAACCTTCCTAGTGTACTTATAACTCACAATATCTATTACAATTATGCATTCAGTATGCACTAAATCATCTCAGCCAGAACTATTCAAAGAAATGCCTTCATTAGTCAAAATTCAATTGTCCTTCATCCCTTCCTTTATGCATGGAGATCAACTCTAGATCTCTTACAGCTGGGTTTTGTCCTTCATCCCCTCTGTGATGTATGAAGATTAACTCGAAAGATCTTACAGCTGGTTTAAATATAATTCCCAATAATTTTATCACAACTCTCTCTTGTTTCATTATTATTGACAACAATCCTATCTTTATTCATGTGTAATATAATTTTCTGGACTTGCTATTGAACCAAGTGACTCAGAAAGAAAAATAATATTGACATGTTATACACTTCATTTTGAGACTAACATACTGAAATTTAGTTGGGAGGAAACATAGTCTAAATTAGGTTGGTCATACATAAGAATTCATACATGGTTAGTTTTATTAATGCACAAGTTTTTTTATACGCGGACAGGTCACAATTTTTATCTGATTTTGACGAAACTTGAAATATAGGTTTATCTCCCAAAGAGCTTGGTTCCTTTCGATATTGGCATGTATCAGATCGTAACTTCATAGACTATGGCCCCTAATTGTACAAAAAAGCACGTTTTTAGCTTGTGGACACTCTAAAGGTAATAATATTTATCTGATTTTGATGAAACTTGAAATATATGTTTATAACCCAACGATCTCGGTTCATTAAGATATTCGCACATATCGGACTGTAACTTCCTGGATCATGGCCCCTAATTGAACGAAAAATCATGTTTTTAACGTGTTGTCCCCCTAGAGGTCACAATTTTTATCCAATTTAAAAAAAATGTTTAAACATGTTACCATAATACCATAATGATGATTGAGTTCGCATTGCTTGAAAATCGGACCGAAACTGCCAGACAAAATGACTAGGGAACTGGATAACGATTCTAATAAATCAATATATTGCATTATGTAAATTTTATTGACAGTATTTTTTTATCATTAAAGTAAAGATACCACAATAATCTAATATATTGTTTGAACCTGTCTCCCTTCCCCTAATAATATTCTCTTAAAAATTATTGTATTTTATTGAAACATAGCATAGCTTACAATAATTCAAATTTAATTTCTGCTCAGAGAAATATTTTTGAGGCGTTTCCTTGCTCAAAGCATTATGGTATTGCAATAATGGCAATATATTGTAGATTTATATTTCTTTTATGCCATACGAATGATTAAACACACTCCGGACAACTGCAAACCATGCAGACTTGAAATTTCATGCAGGTTGTTCTTGGCCCATGTAGGATTTGAACCAGAGACATTCTGGACTGCACACGGAGCCACATGGTGTGATTTTGAAATTCTTTGTGTAGATGATTATGATTTCGTCCCCCGTTTTTTAAAGAAAGCATGATGCTATTAAAATGATTCCATCCATTGTATATCACATTTTGCTGGGCAAGTATTTAGTATGCTAAAACCAATTCAAAATATTGTTAAGCATTGGACTTCTTTGAATGGAAATGCTCTCATTCCATCATAGATTCCTTTGACCTTGCATAGAACAAAAAATGATTTAGTCACTCGACCCCTCCAAATTTTTAGCAGATGATTGTGACATGTTTGGTTCTTTGTGGTTGTAAAGATTAGGATCATCAGAAATTTTAAACAAATGTTATAGGCCAAGCTAGAAATGGCATGGACTTAATATTGAAGTCTATGGGGAATGAATTACCAGCCTGTCCATACCAACCAGTAAATGAATGAATGCCCTTCTGTCACATCATGAAGTACACTTGTTGTGTAAATAAGAGAAACAGTTATCTATTATAGTAATGAAGTGTATTTTTTAAGTTGAAAGGATGCTAGTTAGAAGAGAAAATGTGAGCTTCTATAAATATTGTTGGTGTTAATTTGGTATGAAGGGTGTAAAATGTAGCCTTTCCTATGTCAACAGCCAGCTAACAGAAGGGGCAGTCTTCTTAGTAAGTAGACAAACCGCTGACAGATAGACCCACACCTTTCTTTTGTTGAAGTCAACCCACCCATATCTAATAGATCTCTCTTTCCCTACATAGCTACAACTATTCGTGGAATTCTAGAAAATGTTAAGCATTTGGTGGGCAAGTAAGACAATAATAATATTGTCTTTTACAAATAAATGTTTATCTAAATTAATTTTATTATGTTTTTTAACAAGTTTTTAATTACAAAAGTTAATCAGTCCTGGTTGAAAAATATATTATTATGCCAAATAAGCACCTGTGTGTTCCTGAATGTTGGCGACATTTATCATTCCAATAAGTGCACAGGTTGTCGTAAATGGGAGACACACCACAAGCTTATTTGCACTTGCAACTGAAATATCCGGAGTTATAATGTCAAAGATGTAATTCCACAGTCGCTGGCACATTTAACATTTTGCTCCAATCTCTTTTCAATTGCTAAACAAAAACACTGAAAATGTCTGTAATTGATAGATTTTTGTTCATGGAATTATTAACACGATTTATTCCAGTTTGTGTAGAAAGTCTTCCTTGCCTTAACGTCTTTTAGAGATTTGATGGTCAAAGTCTAACCCTGGAATTATATGGAGGGTAGTGGAGAGAAAGAAGGCATTTTTTTTAACCATTCCTCATAATTCTAATTTTGCAAATCTCTTCAAATGAAAATAATTTGAAAACATGTAAAAAGTCTTCTTTTCTTAATGTCTTTTAGAGATTTGATGGTCAAACTCTAACCCTGGAATTATATGGAGGGTAGTGGAGAGAAACTTCCTGAATTATGACCCCTGATTGTACGAAAAATCGTGTTTTTAGCTTGTGGTCCCCCTAGAGGTCACAATTATTATTCCATTTAAAAAAAACATCCTAATATATCACCGTTATACTGTAATGATGCTTGAGTTCGAATTTCGTGAAAATCGGACCAAAACTGCCAGAAAAAATGACCGCCCCCTCCTATGCAATTACTGTAAAAATATGGTATACCAGGGTTGTGGACCCTCTAGAAGTCATAGTTTTGATCCGATTTTGATGAAACTTGAAATACATGTTTATAACCCAAAGTTAGTTAGTTGTTAGTTGTGTTTTACGTCCGCTTCCACCGAGGTGATATCGCAGACAATGACGTGTTATGTGTGCAAGGTGCATTAATTTACAATGTGATTAGTGAGAAATAATAGGATGATTAGGTTTTCATATATATGTACATAGGACAATAAACAACAGTAGGATAACATGTGCAAAGGACGAAACAGGTGCCAGTAGACATTTAAAAACATGCGATTTGACGGAACAGACATGGACAAAGACGGACATTTTCACAGACATAGACATATTTTGTACATATATATATATTTTGGGTCGTTTGGGTTGGTCTGGTCGTTCTGTCCGGTAGAATGGCAGGGCGGTGCAACTCTACCTTGGGGCTTTGTTGGTGAGTTTGAGTCCTGGTCCATTCTTCCTTCCATTTGGGTATGTTGTCCGGTATGGTAGCGTTTTTACATCTTTATTTATGTTATTCATTCCTTTTATTGTTGGTTCTCTGAAGGTATAACCCAAAGATCTTGGTTCCTTTTTATATTCATGCATATCGGATTGTAACTTCCTGAATTATGGCCCTTGATTGTATGAAAAATCATGTTTTTAGCTTGTGGTTCCACTAGAGGTAACAATTTTTATCCGATTTTAAAAATGGTTTGAATATTTCACCGTTATACCCTAATGATGGTTGAGTTTGAATTTCGTGAAAATCGGACCAAAATTGCCAGACAAAATGGACACCCCTTGTAAGCAAATTGTGTAAATATAATATTAATATATGGTATATCAAGGTTGTGGACCTTCTAGAGGACACAATTTTGATCCCATTTTGATGAAACTTGAAATACATGTTTATAATTCAAAGAACTTGGTTTCTGTCGATATTCATGCATATCGTATTGTAACTTCCTGAATTATGGCCCTTGATTGTACGAAAAATCGCGTTTCTTGCTTGTGGTCCCTCTAAAGGTCACAATTTTTATCCGATTGAAAATAACGTTTGAATATATCACCATTACACCCTAATGACGGCTGAGTTAAAATTTTTCAAAAAGTTTGAAAGATAAATTTGTTTCAAGATGGAATGATTTACTAGTTTTTGTAGTGTTGTCTGATCATGTTGTTTGTTTTTCTGCAGGTTTGAATGATGATAAATGGCATACATTTAATTGGTTTCTAGATTCCAAAGATGGTTTAATGATTGTTTCTGTAGATGACCTGTCAACTAATATAACACTAGAGGCATTTGGCTGGGGACAAGGCAGAGAAATTCTACAATGGTCTCTTCTACCTTCAACTATATCTTACGGAGGTATGATTTTATCTACAATAATTGAAATATTCTGTCAGTTTCCTCAATAAAGAATTTGCAAGTATTTGGTTATATTGAGTAAATCTTACATACCAGACCAGTTGATGATTTTTATTTTTTGAACTTGTAACTTTTTTAATATTAAAACATTGTGAAATCTTTATAACACTATAACAGATGATAACTTTAACACGTTATTGATTGAATCTATTAGTCCTATAAATCCAACATTATTTTGCTCCCTGCAGAAACCTGCATTGTTGCAACATGTGCCATGGTATCAGATTAAAATCATTAGGATACCATTTAGTCTTCATAAAATCTTTTTTGAATGGAAGTAGTAGCTTCTCTCAACAAATTATCAACTATAGATATATTGAATTCAAAAGTATACAAATTATAAAATTTCTATAATGAATCACCATTAATTCTATAGGGGTTTCATTTAATACTTATATTTCTTATGTAACTCTAATTTTTTTTCAGCAACCAATGCTTCCAACTCTCAGGAATTTTTTCATTTTATTGGCTGTTTGTCGGATATGAAATATGAAAGAGAAGACAGTATTTTAATAGATATCCCTATTCAAACTATCGCAGGAATAACACGTGGTTGTAATGATTTGTGTGCCGACAATAATCAGTGTCAAAATGGCGGCAGATGTATTAATATGTACACTCGAACTAAATGTGATTGTTTTGGAACTAATTATGAAGGAAATAGATGTGATACCAAAGGTAAAGTATTCTCTTTGATGTTTCTTTGGGAAATTAGTAACAGGGAGGGAAAGGGGAATATTGAATAATTGACATTTTTGACATTTAGAGAAATAAGTCTTCACTACTTAAATTGAATATAGATACATTTATAGTATGATTAAAACAAGTTGGACGTTAATAAACCCCATATCATTTCATTTTTGCAAACAAGACAAATGTAACATGCTTTGAGTTATTGTTTGAGAAATCAAAATCACCGCTGGTTCCGATGAATGTTTTATGAACTGCCAGATACTGAGATGCCTTGAAAATGCATCATTGATTTGACTGGAACTGCTAATGCGGCAATAATGTGACTGAAATGTTATATTTGGCATAATTGTCGGCTGGACATTTACTGACACAATGGTTGCTGCAATGTTGCAGGTCCGCATGGAGGAGATAACCCTTTGAATGGCGGCTTGTGAGATCATCTCCAATCTTGTTACAATGATACTTCAGTGGCTCTGGTTCTTATTTTCTCCTGAATTAAAGTTAATAGTGCGTTTTCACTTTTCACTGCCTCTCAAAGGATTTCTATAAGTTTGGAAAGCACAAGTAGATCTTTTACTTTTAAGATAAGAATTAAATATTTTTAAATATTTAATTAAAACTTATGTGAACTGACTTCCATTGACACATGTAGTAGGTAGTTCTTGTTGATGTCATTGAAACAATTGTGACACACTGAGTGTCTCTTTGTAGTTTTTCCTCCAACTTGATGAGGAACAAGTCAAGAGGTACATGTTTACAGAAACTTGTGTAATTTTGAGTTACCACAGCTGCAGACTGGGTATTTCTTTTTTTTTTTGCAAGTATCAACTTAACACTTTCTCATTAAGTTAAAGTCAAGTCGAGACTAGTTCGGTTGATCTTAGTTAAGATTCAAACCCACTAACTCAAGTTGATCAATCTCTGCTATAACATTTCTTCTGAAAATAGCACGGTTGGTGTGAAAGTAACAGATTTGAAAGATATTTGTCACAAGATTTTCTTGCTGACTGGTGTCTTTGATGTGATTGTTATGTAGACAATAAGATGACCGGTTGTGATCATCTTGACAGGATTATATATGGACTATGGACAGATCCCAATCAATTGTTATTTCCCTTCTGACCAGGCTATTGACATTGACCTTCCCTTTTCTAAGATCTAACAAGCTTGATTCGCAATGTGTTATTAGTGACTGTAACAGATTGTTTCTGGGTTTAGTCAAATACAAGTTTAAGAGTTGCCATCCCTATTTTCTTTCTCCATTTATGTTGTAATTAGATAAATAAGGCCACACCAATTTGAAGGATTATTTTTTAGAAACAAAATTATTTTTAACAAAACAGTTCACAAAAGACAAGTGACTGTTGACTTTTCATGACCTCGAAGAACTAAAAATTAAATATTTTTGGCCTAAGTAACGAAATCAAGTATTAGAACTTGGCATTTTAGGCAAATCTTCAACAACCCCTTTTACTACACATTTGTGCTGTTTGTATATTGCTTGATAAAAAAGATTTCATTATCATATATATATATAAATGCAAAAACAATTAAAATTTTCAATAATCCACATGCATTTTCATGCTGTATGTGCAGTAAACAATAGGTGGGCCAAACTAAACATGCCTTCAAAATTAAAATAGAAGACAATTAACAAACCTGACAGACGTCTTTTCAGATACAAACAAGTTAATAAACATGTTAACTGCGCAGACCATTTTATTAATAAATTAAATTATAGAATTATATTCTTTATGTCGGAGACTATGATTCCAATTCCAGCAAAATGGTACACATCTTTTCACCTTAAACTATATTGAAATTGTTTTCTCTGCAATTGAATACGTGAAAAATATGTATGGCTATTGGCTAATCTAACCCGAATATTCAAATAATTGGGATAAATCTATCTACATGTACAGATTAATATGGTTTTTAATATAGATTAATTTATAGCTTCTCCAGTTGTATCCACCCAAAAAAATCATGCCCCATTGAGCAGACTACAAAATAAATCAGTTATAATCAGTTATATCGAGATATTTCACTTTGTTTTCATGCTACAAACAAGTCCTATCTTAAACTCTGTGAAAGTTGTCTGGATCGAAAATAAAACCACCACCTCCCAAGGTAGTTCTAAATCGGTTTTAATTGTGTTATACTCTGTAGCATGGATGCATACTGCTTTATGACACCAAATTCAGATTGTATTTTCATGTCTGACTATATGGATGTGAGAAGACGAAATTTTGACGTGAACCAGTTATAATTCATCTTCTCTGTCTCTTTTATTTCATCATTGATTTCTTTAATGCGAATTGTTGTCGCCATGGGCGTCACTGTTACTGATGCAAACTGTGAACATTTCAAATATATAGATTATGATCTATTTGTAACTGTCTATAAAAAAAGAGTATTCCTTTCAATAGTTTCATTAAAACCTTGGTGCTTTGCTTTCTGTGTTTATTTTTGAAAGGTTGTTAGTCAAAAATATTGTCATTTCTTAAATTTTGGGTAGGTTTGGTTAAACATTTGTGATGGACATTCTTAACAAGCTGTTGATGATTCTAATAGGTTGAAAGGGGTTGAGCTAGTTATAGTGTGTGGATGTCTTCTATATAACATAGTGTCTATTGACACAACATTAAGTAGATGAGCCTTTACCTTCATCCACTCCTTCATCTGCTATTTGACATTTGACATCCAAGGATTGAACTTATTGGTTTGAACGCCAATCCTGAAAAGTTTCCTCGGCCAAGTACTTGAATCTTTTGGAGATGAGTTTAACAACATCAATATCTTAATCTAGCCTCTTGTTAACCATAATTAAATGTAAGGTCGACTTTCAACATCACTCAAAAATCCCCCTAATCTTTGATGCACCAGCTTAAATATACAGCTTCACATTCTTTCTGTAATGAAAAAGATAACAAATAAGACATTCTTGATTGAAAGCAACCGTCATTCTATTATTTTTCGATTCTCCTCTAAATTAACACAAAATTAACACTTGAGTTTCCATGTCAACATTTGTCCATATTAAAGTTTAACTTAAGAGGTCATATATCTTGATGTATTTTTAAAACATGTCTGATAAACAAGTTAATATACATACACTCAGCATCAAGAATAAATGACTGTAATACCATTCATATCAGGCTTTATATTAAACTTTAGTGGAAAGATCAGTATTTTTTTTTCATTACTTTTTCTTTTGATGTGGCCTGTAACCAGGTCAATTGGTAATTTCCCTATATCATTGATGGTGGCACTGGTTAATTAATAAGTACATTATTTACCCATCTTCTCCTAGATTCAATTATTTCACTTTCATATGTATGTAATGAAGTTGGGATTTATGCTGCCGTCAGCCTTAGGTTATATTGAGATAAGCTTTTATAATATCTGAATTTTATAGGCTACTTACACTTAGGGTTAATGTGTGATTTAAAAATCATCCGATAGATAGATTATATGTGATTTAAAAACAACAATATACCTCAGTGCTTCACATAAACACACAGTGAGATAATTTAGTCTGGTACAACAATATACCTCAGTGCTTCACATAAACACACAGTGAGATAATTTAGTCTGGTACAACAATATACCTCAGTGCTTCACATAAACACACAGTGAGATAATTTAGTCTGGTACAACATATCCTTATAGAAACTTCCAGGAATTAAAATTGACTTAAAGGAGCTAAATCGCTAATATTTTGGACCTAGAAATTGACACAAATGGGTCGTAACTCATATAATAATGTAATAGGAATATATAAAACTGATTTACATTCAATCGTTTCCATTTTTACTCTAATTTCAAATTAGTTACGTTCGACGAAATATGTCAGAAGTCTCAATCGAATGAAAATTTCTAGCGTCTGGTTATTCTAGTCTACAAAGTATTTATTGGGCATACTCTTCCGATATGAATATGCCGTCACCGTTTGACATGACTTGTTGAATGTTTAGCCTCGTCCTTCGAGTCCCTTGTTAGAATAAGCCTGAAACGCATACACAATTCGTGTACCCATGGTAAAATGTTTATTTTGTCTTAAATATTGGATATCAGAAGCCCATCTTTTCCCCGGTAAGATCACATCAATTTTGATTTAAATTGACAAATAATTTGTCTTTTCAATGTCGAAGATTTTGGATGATATTGAGTTAGAGACTTTAAACTATGCTTATCATCCTGGATAAAAATACTCATATACATCTCATTTTAAAATCATTCTCTTTTAAGGTATATTTGATACACCCTGGTTAATACTAGAGAAAGTTATTCTTTCTTGTTTTCCAATAATCTGACTAAATTAAAGTGGTCAGTCACTTTGAAATTGACTCTTATCGGGTTTCTCTTCTACTGCAAGTGCATAAAAACCATTTGATAACAATGCTGAATACCACTTATCTAATTTAAGATAAAACACAGACTGTTCTGTAGAGTCTAAGATAAAATTGATTATTGGGTTGTGAGAGAAGTCACAGTGTTACAAAGAAACTGGATAACTCATTTTTCTTTATTATTTAATATATATTGTATAATTTCAGGTCCAACATCAATGACATTCCGAGGCTATGAGTGGATACAGTACAAATTATACGACAAAAAGGAAGATCGTCTTTTCTCAGATAACAATAGAATCTCATTAGAATTCAAGGTAAATTAAGATACGGTTTGACTAGTATAAAATAAAACCTTTCTCTTTTGAAAAAGGTTGAATTGGTTGTCATTGCAAGAAGAAGTTTTCATTAAACTGTATAAAAGAGTAGAAGACTTTCAGGAATGATTTGAGAGTATTGGTTCTGTCTGGGTATTGATCTCGCTTCTCCTTATTGAGTTTTAAAATGCGAAAATTGTCATCAGCCAACATTTTATTGTGTAACTGGCCTTGCTTTTAGTTATCTAAGGAAGAAAATTGCAATTTGAGAATTAAAGATTTTTTAGATCAACATGCAATTAGCAACACATGAATTATTTCAATCACAAAATTTGACAGTACATGGACTTTGAACATTATTACATGCTTTTATCTGAAGACTATAGAGATGACAGTTATATTCCATTATGTCATTGTTGTCCCTTCATTGATTTCCTTCCTCTAGGCAGCTCATTATATGAGAAATAGTATTACCTTAGATTTCAGATTAATGGGGCCCCAACTGTCATGGTTATTAGTTAATTGTTAATGTATAGGTTGAGTATATGGCACTGGATAATAAACTGAATGTCCCAAGTTCGATCCTGGTCTTGGCTCAGAAAATTCTAGTAAGGTTTCTCCTTGTCATTTGTGCAGAACAGAGGAGCTGGTAAGGAACAGCATCCAGTTGTTCGGATGGGGTATAAAACCTAGGTCTACATATTGCTGTGTATGTAAGAGAACCCTTGACAGTTGGAATTCAAAATATACCCATCTTAGTTAGCCTAGGTGGAGAAGCTATGGAATGTTATGACAATAAATAGATAATTAAATTTTATGATGTTTTTTTAAATTGATGATGTTTGTTATAAATCAAAAAGTTGATTGTCTTGTACATGGACAGGCAGCTACTACTGTAGAGTTGAGAATGGATGTCCTGGTATCTAGCTGGACTGACTAATTATTAATGCCCAGGAGATACAATTCACACATGTTGTTAAAGTATACACAATCCTATAACACATACTATATAAATACTGGATAAATATATCACTCTAATGTAAACAGTCTTTTTTCACTGAAATTACACTCGGTAATAGGATAACCCAGTGTAAAAATAATTATTTTTTTTATATGGCAGCCTAGTTAAGGTATGTGGAAATGGATTTTAAGTTGTTACCTTCTCTGCTTCTACTTCAGAATACAAATAAATCAACTTAATAGTGGGCTGACTTTTATCCATCTTTGTATTTTAATATATATGAAGCATTTACTGAAATAAATGTTCTAAACAAAGTACATTCTCAAGTGTATTTGAAAATGTATTCTTAAGAATATTGGATTAGTACTAATATGATGAATGATATATAGAGCAGTAACTCAGATGGCATTTGTTGTCTTCGTGAATGTTTATATTAAAACATGACCAAATCAATCATATTTATTGTTTTCGACCAATCAAGATCAGTTTTCTTTAGAAGCATATTGGTAGAAGAAATATATTGATCTTAAGAGTATACTGATAGTGAATTTGGAAGGTGGAATTAGTAAAATATTGTAGGTTATGCAGAGTTACTGCCTTGGTGATATTCTTCCAGCAGTGCACACTGTCTTGTAGCCCGTTCAGATGCTTAAGTTGAACTGGTTTAAAAAACCCTGGGGATCGTTAAACCAGTTTAACTTAAGCGTCTGAACGCAAATGTGGGGCAAATAAACCAGTTTAAAAAACCCTGCTCGCGACCTGTCTTTGAGAAGGCTTTTTATTTTAAACTGGTTCATCTTAGCCGTCTGAACGGGTTGGCTTAAAAACCCCGGCTCCAGCTTGCTTCGAGCATGCGCAGTATGCAGTTAGTTACATTCCTGTGAAAATATCAGGGTCAGACAGTGCCAATGTTATCGAAAGCGTGCGAGAACCGAATAAAGAATATGAAGCTACCCATGCGTAGTTAACTCTAACCTCCAACCGAAGAGGTCAGAATAGTTAAACTGGTTTGACTTATAATACGTGTGAACGCAACACAATGCTGTCTTAAAAACCCCATCGATTATGAACTGGTTTAAAAATAAGCGTCTGAACGGGCTATTATAATGACTAGTCTCACTGAAATAACTAGTTCTGGTATGTGGTATGAACGAGATGTTTTATTTCATTTCAAAATGATAATAACTTTATTCTCATCCTACACTTTGATGTTTTATAAAATATATATTGTAGAGTAATTGACCTACTCTAGGAAGTGGGCAACAGGAAAAAGGTCTCTGATCAGATATAAAGTCAGCTGTAAAATGAGTATATATGTAATACACTGACATCATTTATATGGTAATTCTTTAGCTTTGTCAATAGCTATTATTGGCCATTGAAACTGGTTCCAATCTGGACAAAAAGAGCTAATTTAATGTAATGTGTACAATTACAGATAAATTATGTCCCAAAAGAGATGCTCTGTATATTGAGACAATTGGTATAAATGAATAATGATTAAGCAAATGGTACTCTTTATGGAATATACATCAAATGGTACAGTGAATTGGAATATTCATCACTCTGTAGACTATGTGATTCAAGTGAACTAGATGGGGAGATAAAAATGGAATTAAAATCTAATCTTTTTTTATTGATACCAAAGAATAAAAATACATGTACAGTTATTGTCATACAGAATTGGTTCAAAAGCATGTTAGATGTAGGGGGTCCAGGGATCATTGATAAATGTGGAATTATATTTTATGAAAGTTGATTTAAAGTAACAATGTTATTATTAGTTTATAAAAACACAACAACTTCTAGACTTAAAATATACTATATTGTGGTCATCTACCATTTTGTTGAATGTTAATTTCAAACCGCAACATTTCTCAAATAATAGTTAATATACATATTTAACAATTAGTATAATTAAAAGCCAATTAATGACTTCAGGTTCACCACAACAGTATTAAGAAAAAAAATGTAATATGAAATTATTAATATTGCTGAATTTGAAACATGATGTTTGGTTAACACCATACCTGGGCAATATGAAACTAACATAATATGATTATTTTCATTTCTCTTTACATGTGTCATTTGATATATCAGTGACCTACCACTCTGCTGTCACTGCCCCATGAAGTTGCTAGCAATAATTCAATACACTAATAAATATGATACATGAACATCATTACTGCCATATTATGCAGTTTTGCGTGTCATAAAAAATATATATATGTATTTCAAAATACCTATGGGGGAACAACTGACTTATTTACATATCCTGTCAAAATCTGTCAGTACTGAAAATGAATTTGTCACCCCATGGCCTGACAGGTTATTGAGAGACACAAGTAGTGTGTGGGAAAGATCATCAGAGATCAAATATCTTCTCTGTATATTATAATGTCAATATATATAGCCTACTGCTTGATAGCTGAACTAACTACTCTTACAGATTATTTGTATAGGAAAGGGGGCACAGTATTTACTCCACAAATATTGGAATTCTCACGTTTCGTAATCAATCTGTTTAGATAGCTTCAAACCTTTCTCTCTGCCATATTTCTATTAGATCATAAACAAGAAAATAAAGATTCTGCAGACATTGATGTGTAATGATACTTTTTTGTAATATTTGGAAAATTAAACCTCCGTAAGTTTTTTGAATTTCCAAAGAATTGTGAAGAGACATTATTGTTCAGTTTGGAGCCATTTCAGATTTAAGAGGTTATATTTATGGTATTTTTATTTCCCCTGCTTCATAGAAATTCAGGTTTATTACTTACAAGAGGATTTATTTCTTTTGTTCTTTTTAAGTATCGTTTATTTTTTTATGTGCACTCATGATTCAGAAAAACTTTCATGAGTATAAGTTTTAAGATTTTATGTGCTAGAATAATACACTTGCTGCTAATAAAATGTTTAATAGTTTTCACATAAAACACAGTCAAAGAAAGGAATCACTATTTAGTCATGTTCTCATATATATCAAACAAATTCCATAGGAAAATAAATTGAAAAAATCTTGAGAACTGTTATTGGACAGAGAATATTGGCACTTTATTGTGCAGATCAGAATAAAGTAATGTGAGCACACAATAGATTGCCAAATTACACTCAACTGCAAAATTCTATGAATTTCCAAGCTAATAGATTTGTAAAAAAGTGGTTAAGAATGTGGTTAATAATATGTATGAAAATATTGTAGAGAATTAATGAACAGACATATTTTTTTTATCTTGCATATCGAAATGACAATTAAAATATATGAGGAGTAAACAATTGATACTTACATCAGAAATAACAGACATACTTTCCAAACTCAAAAATATATTATTTTTGGCATTTACGGTCATGTCTCATTTGATTTATAGACATGTATGTAGGTATATGTAGATATTATCTGTAACTAACAGTGGTGTTAATGGTATTACACACTAGGATTCTGTACAGATGATCTTTAGGATAACATTCTATAAACCAACAAATAAAATGTTATATCTTTAACCTGTAGACACCTACAAAAATAATATCTTTTACATTGCAATTTCTCATTGCTGGGTCTGAAAAAAAAAAGAATTTAAAAATTGATGGATACAACACAAGGACTGGATTCCTAAATATAACCATTGTCTATTGAAAAAAAAACCATTCAAAATACTGGAAAAAAAAGTAGTAAACTCTCTAGCAAGGTTACATGTTGCCATCCAAGGGAGCTCTAGTGACAAAAGCATGTGCTGACAAACAAATTTAAAAAATTGACAGTCTTTAATAATTTTCATGTGGAGGTATTAAACTCTACAGGTCACAATGTCCGATTTTGATGAAACTTCATATATGTGTTCATATTCTAAAGTATAAAAAGATTATTGAAAATATTGTTATAAATCCTTGTATACATGTTAAAATATGATAAATATTTTAAAATAAGTTGGGTTTTTTTTTACTATATTACAGACTGGTAGAGGATCAGGAGTTTTATTATATGCTGTAGGAGGTACACCTTATCACACCCATGTTACAGCTTCTATACATGGTGGTAAATTACACACGTCAATATCATTTGGTGATCATGTCAGTGATCTTGAGTTTAATATGGGACTTGGTCTTGATGATAACAGGTAGTGTATTTTAATTAATGACTTTTTTTTTTTACAATAAAATATTATATAAATTCCAGAAACCTATGTTAATTATATAGTGAACTAAATCTGCAAGGCAGTGAAATATTAGAATGTGCTTGTCTGTCTGATTGAGGTAGAATGTTCAAACTTGGTGTAGGTTGAGACTTTGGAACATGATAACTTTGATTCTACCAATGGGTGAGAATGATGAAACTTGGGGATAGGTTCATTACATCAATATCTTGACTAAATTCGCTGATAGAACTTTCTACTTACTGCGAATTGATAAGTCAAGAATTTGGAACACAATAACTGCTTCTAATTGAGGTAGAATATTCAAATTTGGTATAGATGTTTACAGATCAATGTCTTGACTGAGTTCAATGATTAACATTGGTAAAGCTAAACAGAGGGATAAGCAATTTAATTGTTTGATGCTTTGGGACATGGTAACTTTGCTTCTGATTTAGGGAGAGTGATGAAACTCAGTGTATTGTTTCACTACATCGAAACCTTTACTCAGCATGTTCTGTTTAGGCTAAACAATTTGATTGCTCCGTGCTTTAAAAAAGAATGTGCAAATAATTAATGTGTCACCTGTTTATTTTGGTGTTGAAACGGGGGGTGGAGGGGGGGTGTTTATTTAACTTTCATACAGTCCCCATAGCCCAGTAGCTTTATTGTCGGTCGTTTCATAAATCTTAGTTGATTTACAGTAAATCTGACTCTCAACCCCCATCCCACCTCTTGTGAATAATATAGTAAGCATCATTACAAGTAAGATTGACACAAGGTGCTCATTATTTTCAGTTCATTAACCATCGGTATATAGAGTGAATCATTTGCCTCCAATACTGTGCCTGCTTTATGTATTACTTTATGACCTATTAATGCCATTGATACATTATCTTAATGAACCATAACCAAAACTACTATGTTACAATCTCATTAATTACACTTCAGTGCTGAAAAATACTAATCACAATTCTCATTCGCAAACTATAATGAAACTCCTTTCATATATTTTTCTTTTAACAAAAAAAAATTGAAACTTGCAGTAATTAGATCTGTGGATAAAGTTTACAATCTTTTGAATGTTTCTCTTTTATGTTGTAAAAAGAATTCAGATGAGATTATTAAGATCAATAAATGGATTTAATTTAATCATTAATTGGTGACTCAACAGCTTGACTATGAGAAAATAATTTGTAGAATTACATGAACATGGACAAATAAGAGAGATGATTTATAATTGTGGATAATGTCATCAGCTAGCTGTTTATTCTATTTAACTATAATGGTTGAAATAAAAGTTCATGGTCAGATAAACATTTTCAATATTGAGATTACAGGGACATTTTATAGATTTCTTTTTTTATTGAAATTTACCATAGTCCACATTTCTATAAACATTTATTATCAGCAGCACTTCATACTATTGTATACATGTACTAATCTATCAAATCATTAAAAGTAGACTTGAATTTGTTTCTAAAAATAAGTAAATTGGTTCAGTAGTTGATGAAAAAAATGAATATATTTTTTTCATCCAGATTTAATGTGGTAGTGTGTTGTCTTCATTGCTGTTTATTGGTCCATTCTGAGCATGTGTGATCCATCATTCAGTCCACAATTCATATTACTCAATTGCAGGGCTTGTTCGGTTGATCTTAAGGAGGAATCCTATTGAAATTGTTTTTCACCCATACCCTGTAGACACACCACAGCTCAGAGATTTTCAGAATTTTTTTTTTTTTTTTAAATTTGCCATTAATTGCCCTTTAAACCCAAATGTCTGTCGGGTAGAGTTTTTGAAAACAAATTTCAACTTGCTTGGATTGTTTGGCTAGTCCTAAAGGTGGACTTATGTAGACCTTACAACTGAGAGCATCTCTCGTTTCAGCAACTGGGAGCAACTGGCTTCAACTGAATGCAACTGAAAATGGTTGACCTGAGCACTTCTTACAACTCAAAGCAACTAGTTCCAGTCAGTTCTAGTCAATTGCCCAAGTTTAACTTTCTGCAACTCGTTTCAACTAGTGGTAACTAGTTGCCGTTGGCATAGGCACTCTTACAACTGGCGTCAACTGGTTTAGATGGAAATAACATCACATGAAAAGAGACATGTGTCATGTGACTTTATAAATAATCAAAATGGAAGCAAACGATAATGTCGACAATAATGCATTAATAGAATTGTAGCAGGACTGACCATGCCTTTGGGATGCTTCTTCTAACTTTTTGGATTATGGCCCCTGATTGTATGAAAAATCGCTTTTTTTTTGTTTTTTTTTTTTAGCTTGTTTTTTGCCCATCTCTTGCCAAATGTGGGCTTATCTTGCATGGCAACTGCTTGTTGATCACGTGATGAATAAATTAACAGTCAGATGTTAAGTGATATCGCTATCAGTTCTGAGTCAATATCACACTCTGAATTCAGTTGCTCTCAGTTGTCCTCAGTCAGATGTTAAGTGATATCAATATCACACCCTGAATTCAGTTGCTCTCAGTTGTCCTCAGTCAGATGTTAAGTGATATCAATATCACACCCTGAATTCAGTTGCTCTCAGTTGTCCTCAGTCAGATGTTAAGTGATATCAATATCACACCCTGAATTCAGTTGTTCTCAGTTGTCCTCAGTTGCTGATATATTCGACATAAGCGCACCAGCAACTGACTGGAACTAGTTCCTTTGAGTTGCAAAGTCGACATAAGCCCCCCTTTAAGAAAGAATTCTCAACTGCATTGATATTTATTTGTTCTGCAAAAAGCATTATTTCCTGATCATTGTGTAGTGTTATCAATATGTACATATTATGTACTTTTAATAAATACAAATAAAGTTAAAACCTGCATTATATAAATATCTGTTTGTATTTATTCAAAAGGATTCGGTGTAATTATATGCCATATGTATTATGATGTGCAACCATGCTATCATATTTTATTATGTAAACAAGGATATTGCTAGAAATCTTATATGTACATTGAATTTATCTATGTTAATTAGGATTTAACATATTTTAACATAAATTAACATTTAAATAATACGATATCCTTATTAGTTCTTGGTGTCAAAAACAGTACTTTATTGATGAGGATTTAACTAAAGTTACACATAAGACTGTACAAGATATAGAATGGATGATTGAACCAATCATTAATTACTTAATTTTCATACCCTTTTTATACGCCCACATTGGAAATGTGGTCGTATATTGCCGTCGCCCCTGTCCGTATGTCCGTCTGTCGTCCACAATTTCTTGTGAACACTCTACAGTCTACATTTATTATCTGATTGTTTTGAAATTGATATATGTTGTTGATATTAGTGAGATGAAGAAACCTATTGATTTTCAGCGATTTCCGATAATTACTGCCAGAGTTATGACCCTTGATCACTTTGAAAAATCTTGTGGACGCTCTAGATTCTAAAGTTAATATCTGATTGACTTTATATTTATACACATTGTTTAAGGTCATGAGACGAAGAAGCCTATTGATTTTCAACGATATCCAATAATTACTGCCAGAGTTATGGTCCTTGATCACTTTGAAATATCTTGTGGAAGCTCTAAAGGCTAAAGTTAATATCTGATTGACTTTAGATTTATACACAGTATTTAAGGTCATGAGATGAAGAAACCTATTGATTTTCAACAATTTCCAATAATTACTGCCAGAGTTATGGCCCTTGATCACTTCAAAAAATCTTGTGGATGCTCTAGAGGCTAAAGTTATCATCCGATTGACTTTAGATTGATACACAGAGTTTAAGTCTTGAGACGAACAAGTTTATTGATTTTCAATGCATTTTGATAATTTGATTAGCTAAATCCATGATATTAAATGTATCGTATACTAAACATTAGCATGGAGGAGAACTTTATAAAGCCAAACAAATTCTAATGATTTTCTGATAATTACTTAATGAGTTGTTACTCTTAATCAAATTTTAATGTATTATAAATGTTTCATTACCAAAAAAAGTAAAAATATTCGACAACTCTTGTTGACTGCCCGGGCGATTTAGCTGCTGTGGGCGTATATTTTGTTGCCTGGCAACATATCTTTAATTGTTCTAATAAGAAAAAGTATTTTCTAAATGAATATCCACGTAACATTAACTTATGAATAGTAATGACTGTTTCTTTAATTAAGATATTTTGGTAGGCTTTTAAGAATAAATATTGGCATGATTATGTTGTAATTATTATACCGTGTTTTGTTTTATGTATATATACATGTTTTTAACATGGAGAAAAGGTTAAGAAGACTTAATTGAAGCCTGTATGATTGATGTGTCTGTAGTATGTATAATGGATGTGTCTCATCCATAGATATATCTATACCTATTTTGGAATACAATTTGTTTATGTTGGATGATATGTGCATATTATATGCCAATTACATTTGACAGACATGTTTCGTTTGCAATAGAATTATTAGAATACATATTAAAATTTTGAAGGGCTACCAAATCATATGATGATCAGCAGAATATTGTTTAGATTTGTTTGTCGAAAATTTTACAGATTTGAAGCCACAGCCAAAAATGGCTGGAATGTTGATTCCCCTTTCTTGTTCTTCTGTACAAACTTTAAACAAAGCTTTTATATTTTTAACTGTTTTAAAACTTTTGTCATTTTTGAATAGCTTGCAAACACTGTCACGCATTGGATCTTTGATTTATAATATACTCTTGAGACTGTTGTATGCAGACTTGTGCTGTATATGATTTTGCTGACATTTTTGGGATTGGTTGGCAAAAATATTATTGTTATTTCATTTGTTACTGGTTTGCTAAGTCTATCATTTTGACTTCTATTTTTGTCGCCCATGTACAGGAAATCATACAATCTTCTTTAAAGTTATTCAGAGTTTATACTGAAAAACAAAGGAGTTTTTTGATTTTGAACACTTTCTGATAATTATGTACAGAGTTATGAACTTACGGTCCTTAATGACAATAAAAAATCTTGTGGACTCTCAAGCAAAAGCTACCATCCGACTGACTTGAAATCATGAAATTAGCACACAGTGTATTTGTCAAAGAGGTGTTGAAGCCTTGTGACTACATGCAGTGTTATTGCCCTTGATCACTTTGAGAAATTTTGTGTACAGTCCAGCTGCTAAAAGCTAAATTTATCATTTGATAAAAATCATGTGTAATTTTCATTACATAAAGCTTCACAACTGATACTCTTGAGCAAGCTGAAAAATCTTGTGATCACTCTAGAGGCTAAGTTATGATCTAAATGTGACAGCCTTTATGGATTGCTCAGCTGACTTTGGTTTGTGGGCATGTGTTTCTGTCTTTCTTTTCTGAATGTATCCAGTAAAATTATGTTTTGGGGTTAGATTGAGTGACCGAATTAAACTTGAGCGATCAATTAAGCCAACATGAAAGAACCAGTTGATCTATAAGAATAATAAAATTTGTTTCATGATACAGAGTAATACATACTTCAGACATTTAAATTCATTGACATTAACTGAGTTTTAACATCCCAGGCTAAAAGTTAAACAACAAGGTAGTGTTTCATTATAAATTCTTAATGGAACCCACAAGCATGGACTGCCTTTTAAATCTTATAATTATATGTGGTGCCTTTGTTTTTTTTTTCAGACTAATGCGTATCACGCACAATTACTTAAATCCATGCTAAAATTACTGATTTAACATTTAATTAAGAAAAACAAAATAAAAAATCAATGATAGACAATCTCCCAAGTTAATTCAGTTGCATTAAAAGAGTTCAGTAAAGATTATAGATGGTGCTGGCTTTCTTTGACCATATTCCATTTATAAATATGCCAAATGTTGACAAAATTTTAATTCATGATATCTTTGTAAATACTGAAAAGAATTGAATCATTTTTTGACTGATTTATATTCCTTTATGTAAGTTTTAGGGATTCAACTTTAATAATATTACAGTTTGCAATGGATTAACATCCCACAAATGAGGTTCAGGGACTTCAGTAAGGAAGACTCTATAATTGTTTGTTTTGTATCTTCCATATAAATGATGAAATAACATCAGATTAAGATTTTATCAGATTGCTGCCTGGTTAATGTTTCTATTTGAAAGAATTTGTTTTATTAATTCCTTGTTAATTTACTGAAGTGGCTCCGTAAACATGATGCAGATTTTCGATGAATTGTAAAATGTGCATATTTGCATAGTTACTAGTATGTGGATGGTGTGAATCTACAGGCAGTTGCTGTATTGAGCACTTCTTATTTTTTCAAATAACAAATTTTGACTTTTACTTTTTATATTAAACAAGGTGACATCCATACAATACATCTATGTTGTGCACTTTATCAGGATTTTTTACAGGTGCAAACTTGGGCTTTTTTACATTTTAAAAGTATCTCTTTTAATAAATTGCTTGAGTTGATGAACATTTTTGGACTAGTTACAATGGAGAAAAACACTTGAACTTTAATTAAGATAGAAAAAAAGGCTATATTTGTTAATGAAGCATGTTTGTGATTAGTTTTTACTTTTAAATTGTCAAATATAATCATAATAAAACTTTTTCATAATTAGAAAATTATAAATAGGTCTAGACCCAAAATGCGGATGTTAACATGATACATGTACAGATTGCCATTTTAATGTAATTTCTATGTTATATCAAAATATTAGTTTGGTGGAGCTAGGTGCATTGATGACTATGTATTTACTAAACCTATGGATCACACCAGATCCTAATTTTCAATTTATAAAATAGTACACATTCACTATCCTGCATACACACTTCCAATACCTACAGCTAAGTTTTCTGTGAACAATATTTTATGGTTTGTTTGCAATTAATTTCTCCATCTTGCACTGTAAATATGTCTAGTTAAATAATGTTATATTTTTTTATGTATTTCAGATGGCATAACTTAACAATAGTTCATATAAAGAGATCTATGTATGTGTATCTAAATGGTAAAGTGGAGGAACAACAAGTCACATCAGATCAGTATTTTCTCAGTCTTGATCCAAATGTCTACATTGGTGGCGGCCATAACTTTGTAGAAACTAGAGGTATCAAACTACACTTTCTTTTTATCTTGAAGCAACAAATATTGACATATTTCATAAAAATCTTCCATCTCCATGGCTACTTAGACAGAAGCCTAGGGACTGCATTCCCATAACTCTTGGTAATCACCTTCTCTGAAGATTGTTGTTTTGTATTTAAATAATGAGATTTGACATGATACATGTTGGCGAAGTGTAATTTAACCGAAATAGACTTGCATCCTTGGGTTATCTGACTACTTTATTGTATTTCAATCTCATCAATTATTAAAGAGTTAGCAATGTCTACCTCCAGGATATAAATTAACAGTCATTTCACAAGTACATGGCTAGACCACTCTCATTTTGTATGTTCTGGAAATCCGGAAAATTTACTCAAAATTGCAATATTGCTGGTGATTTTTGTGGGGTATTCTACTCAGCCCTGATATTTATTGTTATCTGAAAACATACAACATAAATTATTAACCATGGTTTCGTGCATTTGACGTTTTAGAAAGTGTAAGTATATCCAGCCTTGTCCACCCCACCTTCTACTTCCTGTATCCTAATTCAAATTGTGATAGCTGGATGGAGATATTTCACAAAAGTCAGTATTCTCAATTAGTGACTTCTTGGCCTTTGAAAAAGCAACAAAAATGAATCCAAAATACCTTTATAACATCTTTCAGGTAGATTTATAAATAAATATGGAATGTGGATTAATATTACATCAACGTCATAATATATTCATTACTAATCAAAAGTTACTTTTTTTTCTCAAAGTCACGTGTGATATGCTATTTGTTTGGACTTTGGAGCAAAATTTCACTTTTACAGCAGCAATAATGTAGACCAAATTCCAATTGTCACGCATTCATTTATGTACATGCCAATGTGGCTTTATCTCATCCTGTGTAAATGAATTATTGATAGAGTTGTGATATAAAAATATAAACAGATGGAAAGATAATTCAGTTGACATTGCTCTTATGCAGCAATAATAACCTATGATGACATCTGTCTATAAACTGGATGTTGTTAGGTGTTATGTGTGGGGGTTGAGATGGCCTTGTGGTCTAGAGTGTCGCACTTCGACCTATAGCTGGGCGGTCACCTATGGCATTGTGATTTGGTTTCGATCGCTGGTGTGAGCGCATGTGGCTTGGAGATAGGGGCGCCTTCTCAACCTTATAGGTTTACTCCAGGTACTCCAGTTTCCTCCCACAGGAAAGACCCCTGCACATGCGCTAAGATAATAAAAATGAAAATAAGACAACATGTCTGTGATATCACCTTCGAAGGAAGCTGACGTAAGAACAACAACATGTGTTATGTTAGTAGATCTACTTGCTAAAATGTTTGATCTGATGTTGGTGTATCTTCCTGCCAGTATTTTGATTAATGTTCTGACCACAATGTTAATAAACTGTTTATTGACACATGTGATTGACTTGTCTACTTTATGTTACTATTTCATTTCCTTACATGTCTAATATCTAATAATGTTATGCATTAAAGATGAGACCAGTGAGATGGACTTCCTTTACGTCTAATTATAATGGAGAAATGGAGGACCACTTCTACAGTAGTCTCATTGACTTGATTAAAATAATATTGATTTTAGTATTAACTAGTTGACAAGACCCCCATCTCTAGTCACCATACCACACACACTGACCTCTTGACCATTGATCCACTAGAAATTTAACCCTTGACCAGTGGTCATTCTTTAAATCCAAAACTTTTGTTAGCTTTGTAATTGTGATCTGCATCTGCCGCATGTAGACAGTTGGTTTAGGAGAAGTATTTACATGTCAGTTAATCCACATTCATACAAGTATTAGTATGAGTAACAAACTCGTATCATCTCTATATTACATGTTTTATTTGTTTAGCACTGATCTTCGGTGGTCCAGACGTGACTTGAGGGAAATACAGAAACATATTTTATTCCTACCCATTAATTAAAATTACCAGTAACATTGGCTTCTGTTGTTATAGGAGGTTTCTTGACGTTAACTACTGGCTTTCATAATTAATAAAAATTAATAGATAATTCTGCAGGAAAGCTGCACAACAGTATATAAACAAAACAAATGAACATAAACACAGCAGAGGTATTCCCAGAAAAAAAATAATATGAAAACAAAGAAATATTTAGCAAAAACATATATGGTCCAGCTTGATTCTAATAGGGGGATCACGTGGCTAAGTGGGTAAGACGCTGGCTCACTAGCCTGGAGGTCGGGTCTCCGATCCCTGCATTGGCTGAGAAAGTTCATTCAGATTTACTGGCGTGGTTTCCCCTTGTCAGTGATGCAGGATGGAGGGCCTGACAAGGACAGCTGTCTAGTCGTTCGGATGGGACAAAAAAACGAGGTCCCGTGTACACATTGACGTGCACGTAAAAGATCACTTGGCAGTTGGAATTTGATTTAAGAGTAGGCCGTAGCACCACTGCCCGGGCAAAATTTCCCTCATAACACACTGTATGGCGTATGCCCGTCTTCATTAGCCCAGGTTAGGAGCAGAACAGTAGGACGTTAAACCCCATTTCATTTTGACTCGAATAGCCCAGCCCATTCAGACATTTATTTTTAAACCAGTTCATGTCCAAAGCAAGCTGGAGCCAGGGTTTTTATGCTAACCCGTTTAGACAGCCAAAATGAACCAGTTGAAAACTGTTTTTTTTAAAACTGGTTTATTTGCCCCACATTTGCATTCATAAGACAGAGTTAAACTGGTTTAACGATCCCCAGGGTTTTTAAACCAGTTCAACTTAAGCGTCTGACTGTCAAACTGTCAAAAAGATATTATAAGATTTAATGCTCCGACATTCTGTTTTGTAAAATATCTTGTTTATTATTTTGATATTCTCCACATATTGATAGATAGTTAAATAATCATGACTAAAATTAACATGCTAAAAATTTATAAAAATCTGTTTTGTTTCTTCATAAATTTTATTTTGAAGATAATAGAATCTATTTTAGACAGAAATAGCCAATATTGTAATTTTCTATGTACGTTGTACTAAGATAATACACAGGAATATTGAATTTTATCTGATTTACCCACATGTACATTAATACGTGGAGTATGGTAAGATTTTGTTACAGATATTATTGTACTAGAATACAGAATTTCAAACATGCTTAAGGTTAACATAGTATTTCCACCTTGTTTATTTTTTATGTCAGTTTACCAGAAATAGTTATGATATATTAAATGATCAACAAATGTATGTTTGTATTTTTTAGGATTACAGATAACCCAGAGTTTTGTTGGCTGTTTACGCAATGTTTATTTTAATGATGTGTCTGTACTCTATAATCTGAAGAGTGGCAAGAAGAATTGCGAATATCAGGGCGGTAGATCGGCACAATATGGCTGTGATCCAATACAAGAAATCCCCATCACGTTTCCAATGGCTGGCTCTATGTTACGTTGGGATGTACCAAAGAATGACAATCTGTCTGTGTCATTCCGTTTTCGTACGGTTAGGGAAATGGCCATATTGTTTAGTGTTGAATTATTGGCTCGAGATGGGTTTGGCGGCTATGAATATGGATATTTGGAGGTGAGAGAATTATACAATGTGTAACTGATTCTTATATCCCTCTCCACATAAAAAATATGCTCAGTTAAACCACTTTTAGTTCTTCATTCTAAAATACATCAAATCATAAGCTAGCTGTCTGCTCTTTCTCAAGTGTCTTCAGATGTTATATGTAAATGTAATATACTATTCAAAAAAAGTAGGGGATATTTGATTTTGGGGGCATAATACTAAAATATGCAAATGACTACGAAAAAAGTCACTATAGAACCTAACAGAAGAAACATTTCCAGTTACATGTGACGCCCAAACGCACCAATAGCTACCGCATGGAATGCAGGTGATGCTTGGGATCATCATAGGGGTCCAACCCAAGATTTGCACGACTCTGACTTTGAATGTTACAGTCATTGTGGCATTGAATTCCGGGGTGGAAACATCAGTTTAATTGTTTTAGTGACCAGAAAACGAATTTTGATATGCGTCGGCTTACCCAAAATGAAAGGTTACGTTCCCTTGGCATGCTACAGATCGGCACAACACAGGCGGTTGTGGCGCGGACGATGAATGTTTCTCAGTCTGTCATAAGCAGGCTATGGTCCAGATACCGTGATACACAATCTGTACAGGACAGACCACGCTCAGGTCGACCAAGGGCGACAACTCAAGCCCAGGATCGATTTATCCGTACCTTGGCCTTGAGAAATCGTGTCATCACAGCAAATCAGATCAGCGCTCGTCTTCAAACAGACACTGGTGTGAGAGTGAGTGGCCAGACGATTCGGAATCGACTGCATAGGGGTCACCTTCGCGCCCGACGTCCTCGCGTGATCCCTTGTTTGAGAGATCATCACATTCAGGCAAGACGTCGTTGGTGTAGGGATCGTCAACACTGGGATAATCGACGCTGGAGCAATGTGATGTTTTCAGATGAGTCAAGGTTCACTGTTGATTTTTTGGACAGACGTAGGAGGGTGTGGCGTCGTCGAAACGAGCGCTTCCAAGACGTTAACGTCATCAGACATGATCGATTTGGGGGTGGTTCTGTTATGGTGTAGGGAGGCATCACTGTTGCTGGAAGAACGGCTTTACATGTTGTTGCAGGGCGTGTTACAGGCCAGTACTACCGGGACAACATCTTGGCAGTCCATGTTGTGCCGTTCGCACGACGTCATGGCCGCCGTTTCATCTTCCAGGATGACAACGCAAGATGTCACAGGGCCAGGATCGTTACAGGTTACCTCCAACAACAGAACATCACCACATTACCTTGGCCAGCACTGAGTCCCGACCTCTCCCCCATCGAGCATGTCTGGGACATGCTTGGACAGAGGTTACGTCAACGTCAACAACTCCTGCCAATGTCCAAGAACTTGCTGCTGCGTTGCAACAGGAATGGGACAATCTGGACCAAAATGACCTTAGACGTCTCATTAGGAGTATGCCACGTCGGATCAATGCTTGTTTGGCAAACAGAGGAGGATTTACCCGTTACTGACTTGGTTGTGATGCTGTGGTAACTTTGCTGTTTGACCCCGGGTATCATTTTACCCTTATAATGGTCAGTCTGTGCCTTACATAGTCTAACGATCATTTGGAATAAATCGATGAATGTGAACTTCATTTCATTTTGTCATTTCTTTCTTCGTCAGTTTCATTAGGTGACTTTAATAACACTTAAAAATCAAATATCCCCTACTTTTTTTGAATAGTATAGTATAAAGTGTAATATGGCAGTCATTTGAATGCAGCAGCAAGACCAGAAACACCATTGTGTGATTGCCTATGTCTTAGTTATAAAACAGTGTCTGAATGCTATTTGAATTAAACAAATGGTGGATGTTTTTAAACGATGCATCTGATATTTGCCAGCTATTGAATTTTTGACAATATATCAACATATATAGTAACTGATATATTTTCAAAGGAAGTATTGCTTTGAGTTTGACAAATCATAACAAAGTGACTTGATATTTCAGTTTAGAAACTGTGATCATTGTTAGTTCCCATTGTTTTAACACAATGGTTGAAAAAAAAGGAAATTCTTTCAATATATTAAGAGACATGCTTATGTGCTCCTGCTCCTTTATCTGGGTTAGAGGTGCAATAAGAAATATACGTTAGTGCACGAGTTAGTCTTGAGTCAACATTGATCACCATTTCTCTCTCTCATGACACATCTTTAATTATGGAGGCGAAAATCCTTGATAAATATATGTATGTAGAAACTTGGTCAATAAGATCATACATGAATCTGTGACTGAGCCATCTTATCTAGAAAATATCAGACAGACATATGGTGTTCTAACATAAAGTATGTTTTATTTAATGAAACTGTCAGTGATTGTAGACCTGTAGTCATTTGTGGGGAAATTATTCAATATCAATAATTGATTGCAGGATTTGCAGGATATTTATGTCATTTTTTTATCGTCACTAGGTCTGGGTCAAAGAGGGTAAACCATTCCTGTCATTTGTACCATCGACCAGAAATCGAAAGGGCTTCCGTGAAAATCAATCTATACCTGCTATAGTCAACAACTCCCAGTGGCACACATTAAATCTAACATTACATTCAAGGTATATTATTTGTTTTAATGTATTAACTGTTGTATTATAAACAGCACATAGTATTACATTACATATATATATTTATATATATATATTGGATCTTTATAAAAGTTAACCCCCATGGTTCATAGTCATACAAATGTATTCCTCAACATTGATTAGGGTATTGGTATGGTAGTCAGAGAAAATTCTCCATGGATTTTTAAAGCTCATTAGAAATTCATGAGATACTTATTTCTCACTTGCTTGCAGCTTATCAGTTTTTCGTGTCTAAGAATTTCATATCTTAAAACCTTTGATAGTTATGTCGTATCTATAACTGAACATTACAGCTGAATTCATGTTGCGTTTTAAACTCATGTTAAAAATCTTTCAGCTTTCAACGACCACTATACAAGTATATTGAACAGAATTTATATTTTAAAATTTGTTTTGATAAGAATACATTTTTAAATTAAATATTTTTGGATGTCAAGGATTGACATTATTTTTTAGCCTTTCTGCTTTCATGACTTGTATTTACTGGTACACAAAATAACGTATTGACATTTCTCTGACTCTATATTTCATTTTCGTTCTTTCTGTATATCTTTGCATTATCTTTTTTTTTTCTTGAATTATTTCTATTATATATCCTCTCTTAAACCTCTTTAATAGGACTTATCAAGATATTGACAAGAGAACTAAACAAACCTTGTAGGTATATGAAATCATTCCATATACATGCATATATCAGTTTAACTAAACATTCATTAAAAGGGTTATTTCACTGAAACATTCAGTTTGTTAAAACGTTCTTGATAAATTATTCAATGGATTTAAAATGATTGAAATAACCCTTTAAACTCATCTTAACATGATATTAATATTTCAGTTTAACAAAAAAACACTTATATTCAGAAAATTAATATTAAGTTTTATTTTCAAGATAACAACTTTGCACTTACGTAATATATTATCTAACATATATTGTGGTGGTTGTACTTTAAACTGTGGGATAGTGGCTGATATCTTACCATACATTAAATATTTACAATTAGCCTATAATAAACTCATTTCATCTTCACTGTTAGATATCATGTAGTTGAATATATAAGCTTATATGTGTGATTTTACTAGATCTGTGTGAAGCATTTGATGAGTCTCTATGCCAAAAAGAACCGCCAGTTAATGCTGTTGTTTATTATTAGCAATTTGAACCATTTTCTTTTAGAATTAAAATTTGTTTTAAGAAAATCTCTAATTTCAATGGTTACTTTGAACAATAATTAATCCTTTTCTTAGAAAGTTGAGAGCCGCGGTGGCTCAGTGAGTTAGACGTTGGCCCCCTTACCTCAGGATTTTCCGGCGTAGCTCCACCTTGGCAGTGATGCAGGACAGAGATCCTGGCAAAGGACAATGTAAAGTAGTTTGGATGGGACGATAAACTGAGGTCCCATGTACTGTCATGTACATATTGGCGTGCATGTAAAAGATCCCTTGGCAGATGGATTTCGTTATAAAGAGTAGGCTGTAGTGCCACTGTCCAGACAAAAATTTCCCTCATAGCACACTGTATGGCGTATCCCCATCTCCATTACCCCTTGCAGAACAGAACAGTAGGACATTAAACCCCATTTCCTTAGATTTATGTAGAAAGTTATATATTACAATGTATTTCAAACCAATGGATAATTATGGCCCTTGATTTTGTATTTTCTGATTTATATTTTTGCTTACCGTTTCTGATTTACCTGCTTACTGTTTCTTATGTTTTTTTATGCGCCCACATTTTCATATGGACGTATTATGCCGTCGCCACTGTTTGTGGACACTCTACAGGTCTTATTTTTTATCTGATTTTGACGAAACTTGGAATATAGGTCTATCTCCTAAAGATCTCGGTTCCTTTTGATATTGGCATATATTGGACAATAACTTCATGGATTATGGAACCTGATTGTACAAAAAATCACGTCTTTAGCTTGTAGACACTCTAGAGGTCACAATTTCCATCTGATTTTGATGAGACTTGAAATGCATGTTTATAACTCAAAGATCTTGGTTCCTTTTGATATTTGCGTATATCGGATTATAACTTCGACAATTATACCCCCAGATTGTACGCAAAATTGTGTTTTTAGCTTCTGGTCACTCTAGAGGTCACCGGGCCAAAACTGCCAGACAATGGCCACTCCTCGTACGCAAATAGTGTAAATAAGTGGTATATCAAGGTTGTGGACCCTCTAGATGTAAAAATTCTGATTAAATTTTGATGAAACTTGAAATGCATTCGCGCATATATCCCAAAGATCTCGGTTCCTTTTGATATTTGCGCATTTCAGACCATAACTTTCTGGATTATGGCATCTGATTGTACGAAAAATCGCTTTTGTTTTTAGCTTGTTCTCTATCCATCTCTTGCAAAATGTGGGCGTATCTCTGTGTTTTATGCTCTTTATGTGTGTTCTGTTTTAGAATGCAGTAATGAACCTATATTTTAAAATATAATTCCCAAGAAATACTATTTGTTTATACATTTTGACTAGGGTAATTGACTGGCCAGAAATAAGCATGCATATTATCTTAAAGCTATATTTATACACCCAAATTTTATGTGAGAATGTATTCTCATACACTTCTGTCAGTAGGTCAGTCCATCATTCTTGCAAACTCTTGAGTCAGATTTTGCCATTTATTTGTTCAGCCCTTTGTTTGTATTTCAGGTCTGTGCAATGTATATTTTGCATTTTTCTTCAGAATAGCCGATCAGGCTAATTCTTGTTGACTCTCAAGGCACAAAATATCAGGTTAATCGCAGAGGACTCAGGTCATGGTCCAAATTACTGACATCAATTTCATATTTAGTTCCATTAGCCCTCTAACTATGCAAAATATTTACAAATGATTTGTTTGACACCTACTCATATTACAAACATTGTTATAGTTCTTCAGGATACTCTAAAACTGATGGGCGATGAAGGCCAATTATTGGCCTCTTGTTATTCTAGTCACTAGATCAGTACCTGATGTTTAGTTAGAAAAAAAGTTCTATAAAGAAGTCAGGCAGGCAGTGGACCCCTAGGCTCAACTGCCAGTCTGATCAACCCTCCATACCAATCCAGCCTTGGCCAGACTGTGGGCCAGACTGCGCATGCTCGATGCAGTACCCTATTATTTGTACCGGGAGCATCGCCTTTGGTTGAAGCTTACCCCTCAAAAGGTATTGTGTCTTTATCTAAAGGAAACAGAATCGAATAAGCCTCCTAATTGATCTTCCATCTCCTACCTATGCGAGATAAGCCTATCATTCTATTATTTGGCTCCTCTTACAAGTTTCCCAGGAAACACTTATCTGTGATATCGCCCAAGGTAGAAGTGGACGTTAAGCCTCAAGGGAGGATTGAACAAGAGTCAAGGGTTGAATTTTACACTTAACTTTATAAATTTATTGGTAATTCTAATTTTGTAGTGGCATTTCTTTCTATTTGCTTTCGTCAATATTTGTAGTTATAAAATGTTCCCTACATAATATTGAACAAAAAACCAATTGTTTTATAAATCAATCATTTTATCAATTAATGTTAATAAATTCCATGTTTTAAATATAATCAATATTAATCATGTAATATTCTTCTCTGCCATGTTGTGCTGAGGGAAAGAATCGATCGCAAAATTATTTATAACTGCAAGAAGAAATCGAAGAATATAATAATCTTCTGTAACAGCAGATCTGCCTGCAGCCAGTGCAGGTAGAGATTCTTATTGTGCATGGCAACAAAAGAATCAATATTAAATTGTGGACAACATTTTGTAAAGAGTTCTCTGTATTCAGTGAAAACAATCAGATTATTTTAATTTTCTGTATAATAAAATAATCTAACCAGATGGATTTTGTAGCTTGTCAGTGCTTTCTCTTTGATAAATTGAATTTACTCTTAATTATGATGCACTTTATTGATAGAGAATTTTTTGTCTGTTTGATTATTGCATTTCTTTGTTGCCCTTTAAACAATTTCAGTCATTTGTTATATGTCATATCATTATATAACAAGATTTTCCAAGAGAAAAAAAATAATAAACCCAAAGGGTATTAACTGACATAATCATAAAATACTCGCCATATGCACTAAGATTTTGAGACAAATATTATCGATCATTTATTAGAAAATTTATGATATCCAGATGTTTATCTTTATTGGGTTTACTGTAGCTTGATAAAATACAAAGTATTGTAATTTATTGTGCAACCAGTAGTTTGTGATTTTCAACCAAATGCTAATATGCTAAGATCAATAATAACGGGTAATACTGGATTCTAGCTGTTGAATTGTGGATCATGTTGGCAAAGATATTGAATAATTTATAACGTTGGGTTAAAGTAATTAGAGTTTTGTGAAAGTAGGGTGATTATCTGTACATATATATCAGTTTTGCACATAGAGGCTATTTTTGATCTCCTTTTCTCCAGACATACCTACATCATCTTATACAGAAAATCTGGGCTTAACACTTCTCAATTCCGAGATCAATTTGATATTTTCTAATGGTCTCCCAGTTTCTGAAGGGTTTTACATTATTTAAAGATTGATTATAAATTTGTTACATTCAATGAATTCGTGAAAACAGCACATTATTTTGTGGGTATTTATTTATTTTTTTGTAGAGTTACCAGTTGTTTGAATATTGATAAAAGTTCATAAATAAATATATTTGAAATACAGTCTTTTCCAATGATAGGGCATTTTGCAAACAACCCTACGTGTGGACAAAAGGTGATGTTGAAAGGTTGATGTTACATAGCATGTGCTTAGACTCCGTTGAAACTATGAGGGCAGTTGGTTTCACCTGTCACCCTATTGTCATAAATTAGCACATTCTCAGATACAGTGAGAGACACACCTCCATTAATGCTGATTCCAGGAATTACTGCTAATTTAGGTTTTCTTACTGTTGCGAGAAGTTAGAAACAAAAATGAAATACGAAAAAAAATATATTAATAATCAAGCTGACTAGTTATCATATGATCTGATTATTTTTTAAACACCCACATGAGAATGTGGTCGTTTGTTGCAGTCGCCTCCGTCTCTTCGTTTGTCCGTCGTCCACAGTTTCTTGTGAACACTCTACAGACTACATTTATTATCTGATCAGTTTGAAATTTATATATTCTGTATATTAGTGAGATGAAGAAGCCTTTTAATTTCAACAATTTCCGCTAATACTTCTAAACTTATATATTACTTCTAAACTTATGCCAACTGGCAAGGTTTGAATTCCCCAGTTGTAGGGTTGCCTGTCCAACCTCGGGGGTTTTCTCCTAGTCCTCAGGTTTCCTCCCACTACTAGAGACCCCTACGTGCAAGTGAATTATTGAAATAAAATTGAACCATATGTTAGTCCCGAAATGACGTAGTTTGTGTCGAGTGGACGTTTAACCCCATTTCTCTCTCGCTAGACTTATGGCCCTTATTTCACTTTTTTTAACCTTGTGAATGCTCTTATCAACAACAGTTATCATCTGATCTGTCTGAAATTTATATTCATTATTTAGATCAGTAAAAAGAATAAGCTTATGGAATTTCAACAATTACCGTTTATGACTTCTGGAGTTATGGCCCTTGTTTCACTTTCTTGAACCATATTATGAACGCTCTAAAGACTAAAGTTATCCGATCTGTATATGCATTATTTAGATTAATAAAACGAAGAAGCCTTTTGAATTTCAACAATTTCCGTTAATTACTTCTAGAGTTATGGACCATGTTTCACTTTGTTGAACCCCTTGTGAATGCTCTAATGACAAAAGTTATCATCTGATCTGAATTAAATTTCTGTTAATAACTATGCAATTTCTGTTAATAACTTCTACAGTTATGGCCCTTGTTTCACTTTGTTGAACCTTGTGAACATTCGATCTATATGAAATTGATGTCGGTGTCTTGTAAATGCTCCTATTACCTACAAAAGCATAAATATGTGACAACCCTTCTTGACTCCTTGGACATTGTAGCTGCTGTGGGCATATATTTTGTTGCCTGGCAACCTATCTTTAAACACATCATCATTTCATCTATTTGCATGTAGAAATTCAAGAATGCTTTTGAATGATTTTGATGAATAGTGTTAGTAGCCATTTGCTGAAAATAACAAAATGTATTTAAATTGACTTTGGTGAATTATTTATTGTAATAATGCATAAATAAACCAGATGTTAAATACTGTTTATATTCATGTACATACAAGAATAAATTTATACCATAGTTTAAAATTACAAACACATGTATGTATACATTGTTATGAATATAATTGAAGAAATTGTGTTACATTATAAATCTATATAGCCACCTGCCTAACATACATGCATAACAGCACGTCACAACATGTGTCATTTTCAGTCAAAATACTCTCCTTTATTTTTCAGTCAAGCTAAATTGAAAGTAGACCAGTCTTCTATAAGAACAAATGTGTACAGAAAACCTTTAGAACATCGGGGAAAATTGATATTTGGTTTCGGTCTGAGAGGATACAAGAGTAAGAAATAACAACATTTATATATGAGTTAATATATTCAATAAAAGTATTAGTAAACTGCTGCTTCTCTATTACTGCTGTTTCACGGAAGAAATTGTGAAATAGACAATGAATCCTTTTAGAAATATAGACCAGAAAAACCACCAGATGTTCATATGTTATACCTAACCATGTGCTCCTCATCTCAAAAAATATTTTGTAGACATTAGGGGGGCAATATAAAGATTAGAAATTGTTAGGACCGTTGCTTGTTATAAGGAATGGTCAGAGGACTTCATACGTATGGAAACCATTCCGGAAAGAACAAACGTTAAACCACTACATTGCGTTGCCTGAATTATGATTTACATCAGTTTTTATGCGCCCACATTTTCATGTGGACATATATTGTCGTCGCACCTGTCCGTCCATCCACACTCTACAGGTCATAATTTTTGTCAGATTTTGAAGAAACTTAAAGTGTATGTTTATATCCCAAAAGACCTTTGTTCCTTTTGATGTTCCCACATATTGGATCGTAACTTCCTGAATTATGGCCTCTGATTGTACAGAAAATCCAGTGTTTAGCTTGTGGACCCTCTAGAGGTCACAATTTTTATCCGATTTCAAAAAATGTTTACATATATCAATGTTACAACCTATTGATGATTGAGTTCGATTTTCATAAAAATCAGAAACGAAACTGCCCGCCCAACAAAATGGCTGCTCCTTGTACACAAATAGTGTAAAAAATATGTAATACCAAGGTTGTGGACCCTTTAGAGGTCAGAATTTTTATCTGAATTTGATGAAACTTAAAATATATGTTTTTATTTTATGATAAGTAGTGGAATACCGCGTTTTATCAGTGAAATAAAAGTGTTATTCCACTGGCTAGCAGTAGTCCATGCTGTTTTTACCTAAAATGATTGTAAAATCATAAAATAAATAGAACATTTGTCGTTTTGTCGTGAATAACATATTTTATTTCATCTCTAAGCAAGAAAACGTTTATAAGTTTTCTTGCTTCTCGATGAAATAAAATATGTTATTCACTCTAAAACGACAAATATCCTCTATATATCCCAGAGATTTCCATTCCTTTGGATATTCGCGCCTATTGGACTATAATTTCCTGAATTATGTCCCCTGATAGTACGAAAAATCACTTTTCTTTTGTTGTCCTTGTTTCTGTCCATCTCTTGCAAAATGTGGGCGTATCTTGCATGGCAACCCCTTGTTGATTTTAACATTGACTACTCCATTACTGTCAATATTTGTCAAATTGTACGATATATTTTGTAGGAACTGATGGATTTGTAGGCTGTATAGAAGGTTTGGTTGTACAAGGAATCAAAATTGATCCTATAAAGATAACAGAAACAGAAGCAGCAGTTGGATTAAGATTAGATGGTTGTAATTTAAAAGATTATTGTAGTAATAATAATATATGTGAACATGATAGTATCTGTCTGTCTGATTGGAATGGTGTACAGTGTGATTGTTCTGAACATTATGAAGGAAAAGCTTGCCATTTTCGTAAGTATTCAATGTCTTAAACATCACATTTTGTCTCTATCCCAGCCTCTCAGCCAAGGCGGCTGTGGGTTTGATGTTCCCCTAGGAACTCACGGATTGTGTCTTCTCTACGGTCTCATCATGATGTCTGAGAGTAAATCAAACCCGCTCTATAGAAGTATTATGCGTCAGCTAATTCTTATTTGGTGGCGAAATGCAGGATAGTGTCACATCTAATTCCTTATTTAGTGCCATGACGAAGGATAGTTACGCCGTAACCCTACCTATAGTGTCACAATTTAACATAAATATTGAAAAGATATCTTTCTTTTTATGTTACTTGTACTTGAAAACTGTAAGAGAATACATATCGAAATGTTGTGCTACATGTGTATAAACCAGTGATTGTTTTCCGTATAAATAGTGTTGTGTTTTTTTTTATATAATATAATGTTTATGAAATTTTTCAGCTAAATATCCGAAGACATGTGATGATTATTTTCAATCTGGTCGTAATGTATCTGGTGTATATATAGTTGATTTAGATGGTAGTGGTCCACTCGAACCTACATATGTGCATTGTGAAATGGGTGAGGTACATGATGATAATGAATATGGTGAAACGGTTATAGAACATAATTTTCAAGCTAATACCACAATACGAAAGAATGATTATGCTGATAGACAGTATCATTTATTATACAGGTTAGTTTTATACTGGATCATTTATTATACAGGTTAGTTTTATACTGGATCATTTATTATACAGGTTAGTTTTTTACTGGATCATTTATTATACAGGTTAGTTTTATACTGGATTATGTAATATACAGGTTAGTTTTATACTGGGTCATTTATTATACAGTTTAGTTTTATACTGGATTATGTAATAATACAGGTTAGTTTTATACTGGATCATGTCATATACAGGTTACAGGTTAGTTTTATTTTCCTTTACAATGAAATAGATTCTCTATATGTTTATAAGCAGTGGGATTAAGATTTTGACAACATGATTGTATTGATAACAATGGCTAACATTGGCTGTGTAATTAAAAAATGATTTTGTTGTCTTGAGTGAATTTTAGACGTTTTTCTCTCCCATAGTTCCTTTCACTTCCAATTTGTTAATTAATTTGGTGAATTTATTTTGTTTCAGAGGTATGTCAACAGGTCAGTTATCAGCACTAACAACAGATTCTGCTGCTTGTAAACAACAAGTTCAATATTATTGTTATCAGTCTCCACTTCGGTAAGTATATTCTAATAATATTCTTGACTATTTCAGCCCCTTGCATTGATTAAAGTGTGATGTCACCTGCTAGACTGAGAAGGGAATATCTAATTGCTCAGATAAAATTAAAGGCTGAAAAATCAACCATTTAAGAGTTAAAAATATTATGATGTAGACACTGCTAAGCACATGACTTTGTTAGCTGTTACACATAAGAATGTGCTAGTAGAATGTTTTAATGCCGTGTGCATGAAATTACAAAAACTTGGTCACTCAAGTCACAACTTTTTGGTGAAGTGGAAAAATGTGAATATTAAAATTCTAATCATATTTTACTGTGGAGTGCCATTATGTTGAGTGTCAATCAGAAAAATGGTTGACTGTATAATGTAAATTAATTAACTAGTAGATAGTCTGGGACGTGTAAACATTTAATATAAATAAATTGTCTTTGATTCAAGGTTTCAGTTGAGTGATAATTGTCGTTAATAAAGCCTATCCCAAGTCATTATTTACCCATGATAATTAATCCAAGCAAATAAATTAGTGATGATTTGGCCTTTCGTTTTTTGTTTGAAATAAAGCGAAATTATCAATATGGATGACAGTTTTTTTGTGCAGAGAATTAAGTGTTTTGATAGTTGAATTTCATCTATATAATTACATTGGCTTGGTATGGCTTGTGTAGATATAATTATTTCAAACTATTCTACATCTACTCAATATTGCTGCCAGCAAAACCAAGACATTATCAAATTTAATGTACATTACTTTAACAAAAAAATAAACCTAGCAGTGAGTTTCAATATTTTCCTGCTAAAATAGATTATATATATATATTCCTGAGAAATAAAATTGTTACAAATTATAATCTATTTTAGCAGGAAAATATTGAAACTCACTGTTAATCTTGCTGAATATTCACATGCATACCCCTTCCACAGACATATTATTCCTTCCCTTAAGTACAGACACATCCATATTTTCATGCTTAGTAAAGAAGGCTTCACTCTTGTCATGCCTTTCATCAATTGAGTAAGATTCAGTGCAAAATCAGTTTGAAACATTTATTGGTTTGAAAATTTTAACTTCCATAATTAGTTACTTTCAAAAACATAGTTTGAGTTTTTATACGCCAGATTGAAATGTGGTCTACGCCCACATCGAAATGTGGTCGTATATTGTCATCCCCTCCCCCACCCCCATCCGTCCGGCGTCCACAATTGCTTGTGCACGCTCTAGAGGCTAAAGTTAATATTTGATTGACTTTGAATGTATACATAGTGTTTAAGGTCATGAGACGAAGAATCCTATTAATATTCAGCGATTTCTGATAATTACTGTCAGAGAAAAAATATGCGACAACCCTTGTTGACTGCCCGGATGACTTAGCTTCAGTGGGCGTATGTTTTGTTGCCTTACAACCTATCTTTAACTATGGATTATACTTGTGGTTGAAATGGTTGTATATTATATTTAGACTAGGAAAGAGGACATGGTTTAAAGCAGCCAATGGAGAGATAGTAGATTATATAGGATCAGACAGAGCTGGTTTCTGTGACTGTGATCAACAAGATATGTGTCAAGGTGAAAGATGTTACTGTGATCATGGTAAGTATTTTAAGTATTTGGCAAAATCTAGATTCTAAGTATTTATTGAAAAGAATGTAAAACAGATTAGAACCTTACAACAAAATAGTACTCTAATTTTCAACATGATGGTCATTCAGGACAGAGATCTACCAGTATTCTCAAAGTAGACAATTCTCTGTGTGCACAATGGCCTTTTGTGTGTGACTTAAACTGTCAGTTTTAACACATTTGGTGTAATAAAGTATCAAACAGTGTATTAAAATTGTACCAGATGTAGCAGTTTGACTCAGTGCCTGTTTTGTCTTAGTACCTTATGTTTTTTAGTTTCAAAATGTGTACTTGGTAAAATGATAGGTAATAATGGTATAATGTACAATATCCAAGAACTACATAGACTGAACACAAGGAGCACAGCCAAACCAGGTTAAACTGTGACACCGGTAAACATTCATTAATAGCGTCTCAAAAAAAAATTATTATAAAACGAGTTAAATCAAACTGACCCCATGGGGTATGTTGTGATGGACGTTACTGACATCAAACATTTGAATGATATAATAATGTATTATTATACATTATATAGGAAAAGATGTATGGAAGCAAGATGAAGGATTTAATACAATAAAGAAACAATTACCATTGACAGAAGTTACTGTACTACAAAACACCCAGGGTGAAGGAAAATTATCTATAGGACCATTAAAATGCTGGGGAAGTGGTAATTATCTCTTTTCTATTATTCACAATCATCAAGTATCATAAAGAAAGGTGTCCTTGGCATTTATAATAATAATATTTTAAATGACTTTCAGCTTTGCATGCATTGTGATAATTTTGTCATTATTGCTGTACAGTTCTACTCAATTGGAAAAGTTACTCAAGTTGAGTTTCAGAAATAGCTGCTGTCAGGTTGCACCTTGGCTGCACTAGCCATTATTATATAATGTATGGTAATACCCATAGACCATCAATAAAGTCACACTTTCCTTCGTAAGAACAAAGAGTTGAAATTATTAATGACTGTTAACAGTAGATGGTTGTGTGTAGGATGGAAAAGTTCAAAAGTTCTGGGACATATATATGCACTGTCATTGATATCAATCTGTAATGCTGTTTATTTAGAAGTATTTATTAATAATACATGCAGGGACTAGAATATAAATAACCTATATGATAACAAACAAAAGAATATAGGCTAGGGGAGGGAAGGATTGCAGTTTCCCAAATCTCTTTCTATAAGGTCAAATATGTCACAACTTATAAAAACTCATAACTCTTACCCCAAATTTATCACATTACTACAGTGCTAAAAGATCTCCTCATCGGCTTCCTGTAGCATATATAAGTGTTTGTAAGGATGAAAACCTGCTTTAAATACGGTATTATTATTTTACTAAAATACCTGGTCTGGATACAATCACTTCTTATAATTATCTAAGTTCCACTTATATGAATGTATACTCCATGATGTGTACTTTATGTATTATAAGTTATATATATTTACTTTATTTCAGTACATGTACCGTTAGATAAATCTATAACATTTATAAAAAGTTCAAGTTATATTATGTTACATTCATGGAAGAAAGGTGATTTACGTATTAATATTAAAACAGACCAGACTAATGCCTTGATACTTTATCAAACACCTGGAAAAGGGAATAGTAACAGTTTCTACATTAAAATAATATCAGGTTAGTTTATATATACTTTCTATTCATGTATAAATATTGGCTTAGTTGTGGGCATAAATAGTTTTAAATAATACCCCCATGGCCACATTACAGTGGGTCTTATATAAGGTGGGTGTTAATATTCTTCACAACAAGGTTCAGTTGACGTTCACCAATGTTTAAAGTGAAGTTCAACAATGTTTTAAGTTCTCCAATATTTTAAGTGAAGTTCAACAACTTTTTAAGGGACTTGCTGTAATGCAGATTGAGCCAGTGAACCTTAACATCTTCAGACTGATTTTTATACACCCACATTTTCATGTGGACGTATATTGTCGTTGACCCCGTCCTTCCGTCCGTTCACATTTTGTTTGTGGACACGCTATTGGTCACAATTTTTATCTGATTGTAACGAAACTTAAAATATAGGTTTATCACGACTCCTTTCGAAATTGGCATGTATCGGACCGTAACTTCATGGATTATGGCCCCTGAATGTACGAAAAATCTTGTTTTTAGCTTGTGGACACTTTAGGGGTCATAATTTTTATCAGATTTTGATGAAACTTGAACTGTATGCTTATAACCCAAAGATCTTGGATTATGGTCCCTGATTTTATGAAAAATCGTGTTTTTGGCTTGTGGTCCCTCTTTAGGTCACAATTTTTATCTAATTTAAAAAAACATTTAAATATATCACTGTTACACTGTAACATCGGTTAAGTTCTAATTTCATGGAAAGTATGACCAAAACTACTGGACAAAATGGCCGCCTCCCATACGCAAATAGTGTAAAAATATGGTACATCAAGGTTGTGGACACTCTAGTCTAAAAGGTCACAATTTTGATCCAATTTTGACAAACTTGAAATACATGTTTATATCCCAATGATCTTGGTTGCTTTCAATATTCGTGCATATCGGATTGTTACTTTCTGAATTATGCCCCTTGATTGTAAGAAAAATCGCGTTTTTAGCTTGTGGTCCCTCTACAGGTCACAATTTTTATCCAATTTAAAAAAAACATTTGAATGTATCACTGTTACACCATAATGGTGGTTGACTTCGAATTCACAATGAGTTTAAAAAATATGTTTGCAACTGACAACTAGGTTTGAAATGGAATTTGCTCTCTCTCTCTCTCTCTCTCTCTCTCTCTCTCAATAGGTCTTAACCTCCACTTCCATCTAGGGTGATATCGCAGACAAGTGTTTCCAGCCTAAGATTTATATTTTCACTACATCAAAAATAATTTGTGATTTGTTCTGGGTTTTTTTCAGCTAATGAAGTACAGTTTCGATTTAAAATTGGTGGAAAGATTATCTTAGAGACATTATATACACCAAAACCATTAGATATAGGAGATTGGCATACTATAATTGTTGAACATGATAAATACAATTTACGATTAGCTGTAGACCAGAAACGTCTTATCTTTAATCTCAAATCAGATATTACAAAACTCATTGATTTCTCTGATGGAATATTATATATTGGTGGACTACCAGATGGGTATAACATTATTTTATTGATTTTGTATATATATATATCAAAATGAAATTGGATAATTTGTTTTCATACGTAGTTTTCTTCTCTTGGTGTTTATCGTCTGCTTCCACAATGAGTGGTTTTCAGCTTTCCTGTTCTATAAAGATTCAATAGGAGGCATACAACAAGGGCTTTACCATAACATTTGACATCAAAATTAAGCATTTGTACAGCTGTGTACAGTCTAGAATATCTATCACTTGTCATCCCCTGTTTTAAATAAATTTGTTGGGGGGTGGGGGAAACTGGTTTAATGCATGTGATTTAGATCATAAGGTCTTGAGTCAAGTGGTGTGGTTTTGATTTCCTGCTTATACACAAGGAGTAGGGTCGTCTGTACAACCTCATAGGTTTTCTTTGTGTCCCCCGGTTTCCTTCCACTGCTACAGACCCCTACCTGCAAACCATATGTTAGTCCTGAAATGACCCAATTTGTGTTAAGTGGATATTAAACCCAATTTTGTCTATCTGTCTTTAAATAAAATCCTGATTCACTTGTTAAAATAATCTTTATAAGAAATCATGAACATTATAATGGTTAAGAGTGCATTTTTTTTAGAATGTTGATCCTGAATAGCTATGTCCTTTGTAAATAACTTTAATTAATATATAATTTTTCTTTTTACAGGATAGCATCTGAGTTAGGCGAGACTAGTCCTGGTTTAACTGGTTGTGTTAGGGGTTTTGTGTATAATAATAAAGTTAAAGATTTAACACGTCTAATAGATAGTTCTATGACTGGAGTAACATCTGATTGTATGTCATCTTGTTGGCCTAATCCATGTAAGAATGGTGGAGTTTGTGAGGAACGATGGGGGTCGTATAATTGTGTCTGTGCCAATAAATGGGTTCATTATGGTGAAAACTGTGAAAGAGGTAAAAATTATTTCTGTGGGTTTTCAAAATTAGATAAAATAACCAATTACTCAGTTGCTTATACTAATTCTTTATATGAGTTTTGATGTATATGGAAAAATCATAAGACACACACAGGCATTGTCCTTTCTTGAAATATGGAATATGATTTATTCTTTGTTTTGTAGATATCAATTTAGATGCTGTGACATTTTCTGGTGAAGAAACTGGATATCTGAGATTAGATATGACAGAATATCCACAAGTTTTAGATCAAACTATTATATTTAGTTTCCGTACATTTCAACAAGATGCCCTGCTACTCTATGCTCATGATCATATGAATAATTTTATGCAAGTTGAACTACAGCAAGGAACAACCATAACTGTTAGTTATAATAACTTTAACCAAGTCATTAGAGAAAACATCAAATTTGATGGTCGACGACGGGAAGGTAAGCTCAATTTGCTTGTATAATGTATTTGATAAAAAAGAGACTGGGTGGATTGAGTACATGCATAATACAATGTTGAAATCTATACTCTAGCTAATGATAATCCATTATAATTGTGTCACTTTGCTTCTCTGGAAGCAGTAATATTTTACCATGCTCTATCCAAGCACAGCTATTGATCCAATGCCAGATTCCCACAGGCATTGATCAAATGAAATATTAATGACTCAAGTGAATTCGAAGTAAATATTTTATCATATTATGATCTGTATAGTATGATTACATCCAACTATCTTGTTTTTGGATCCTTATGATTTAACAAAATTTGTCCTCCATTATACGAAATTGATTGAGCGAGATACTATTTGAATAAATCCAAATTGCATTTGATGGATGCTTGTGTAAAACTCACATAACATGCCTGTTAAAAGATATGCCTAAATTTGTAATTTTCACTTGCATCAGATCAACACAACTGTCTTCTGCTTAATCTCTGTGATTAAATATATGAATGATTAATTTACAGACAGATTAAATGATGGTAAATGGAAACAAGTTATAGCTCAGATAGTGGATGGCAATACTGAACTTATAGTAGAGGACAAATCTACTCTCATTTATTTTAAACGAATAAAATTACAGAAGTATTCTACAATTCCTTATAAACAAAGTCCAGTACCAGGTTTGTGAGATTTTATCTTCTGTATTGAAATTTAAATGATACTTTATATTTCTTGAACTTTATGCTTTGGGAAGTCCATTGTAGTCTGCTTTTTTCAACAAGGCAAAACATATTATAGTTTTATTTAACAAACTATTTTATTTGTATCGTAGACTTTCATTTGCTAGCACACTATACTTACCAGCCAATCGGCAGTTTAGATAAAAATATTGGCTCATGAATTGAAGAGTTGAATGTGGGAGTTCTATTTACCCCCGTAATTGCAAGATATTGGGACATCTTGCAGATTCCCATTGATCTTTAAATTGATAGAACTGTGACAGAATTAGATTATAAGTCCTTCATATCCAAATCTATATGAAAACATATCAACAATTAGAACTTGTACTAATGTAACATGTTGTCTTTGTATATTATGTTGTGTGTGTGTGAGTGAAACAGGTTAATATTGTGTATACCCTTCTAGCATTCAGCCAGTAGGGGCAACTTTATGGTTCACTGGATAGCGTGTCCGTCTTCCAAACTGAAGATAGCATGTTTGAATCCCAGCAGAAGTTATACCTGTCACACAATTTCTATTCTATGTTTAATTTAGAAATGATTAATTTTCTTTTAGAATCTGTATTTTTACATCGTCCACCAGAACAGCCAGATCCATTTGTTCATCTATATATTGGTGGTGTACCAAAGATGGCAACAACTCTTCCAACAATTAAAGGATGTATGAGAGGGTTAAAGATAGGAGATCGTATAGTCAGTCTTAAAGATAAAGCATTGTTAGATAAATCTGGTAGATAGAAACTTTTAAATCATTGTTATTTTAATCATATTCATACACGAATCTTAAGGTCATCCATTTAAAACAAAATGTTGTCATCGTGGCATAAGAGTATTGAAAATCTACTACAAAACTACTATTACTGCTATATATTGCACTACTGAACTAGATCATAAGATGTATTATAGTTACAAGACAAGGGTTCTGTACCAGGTTTGTACCTGATCAAGAAGTCGAGGGTTCTGTACCCTAGGTTTGTAGGAGTCAAGGGTTCTGTTACTTCAGTAGCAGGATTGCCTAATTAACCACATGGGATTCCTCTGGGTCTTTCCCACTTCTAAAGACAGAATTATTAAAATAAGAATATACAATGTGTTACTTCCCAAATGAGCTAGTTGGCATTGAGGTGGGCGTTAAACATCGCTTTTCCCTTTTCTCTCTAAAACATCAATCAAGCAATCTGCGACATAAACAGTACTTCAAAACCTCAATTCGCAGGAGATTATCTATCTATATAAACATTTGTTAATATATAATATAATATTTAGGTGAATTAACACCAGCATGTGAAACTGGTTGTATAAAGGATAGATGTTTAAATGGTGGATATTGTACAGAAGAATGGAAGTCAGGAGAATATACATGCGATTGTGGTGAAACAGATTATTCTGGTCAACAATGTCAAATAGGTAGATATATATTTCACGTTTCCATAACTAGCATAATAATATAGTATTTAAAGGTTAATTGGTTCAAATGCCTAAACCTAATATGTGGGCTTATTTTCATAGGTCAAAAATTTGGTGTGAAGCCTTGGGGTCATGAGAGGACTAATAGCTGTATTGATTTTCAGCATTTTTGTGCTCTTTTTTTTTTTCCAGGGTTAAACCCTTTGACTAAACCCATTTCATTTCTGCCAGACCATGTACTACTAAAGACAGATAAGATCATCTGCATTTGGAATCAAAAATTAAAACTTTTATAGATTGTATTAATTTATCTACCAATTAATGAATTATTTTTCAGAACCATCTGCTAAATTTGATGGAGATAGTGTCTTAGAACATAAGTTTTTATTGCCATCAACTAGTCAGAGAAGTTTATCAGAACAATTGTCTTTTATGTTCACAACTAATGGTACTAAAGCTAAATCAGAAGATGGCGATATACTTCAAATGGCTATGATATATGTCAGAAGTTCTAAGTAAGTCAACAAACCCATTTTTATATTCCAACATTTTATGTGGGAGTATTGTCCTTAACTCTATTCATATACCTGTCTGTTCTATATACTCTACAAATCCGTTTTTAAAAAAAATCTGGTATTATTTGAAAATTCATTAAAACCTTGTAAGTGCTCTTACATGTGAGAAATGCAGGGGATTATTTGACCATTATGAGGAGAAGCGGCAATACTATATACCAGAAAACACCGGAAAACTACTGGAAAACACCATTTTATACTAAATACCAGAAAACACACTAAATACCGGAAAATACCCTAAATAGGTAACCCGGAGCCTGGTCCTCTGTGTGCCTGGGTTAGGATTAGGGTTAGTTTCCGGTTTATAGTATAGCCCTTCTCCGGGTTACCTATTTAGGGTGTTTTCCGGTATTTAGTGTTTTTCCGGTGTTTTCCGGTATTCAGTATAACATGGTGTTTTTCAGTTGTTTTTCGGTGTTTTCCGGTATATAGTATAGCCCAGGAGAAGCCTTATTGAGTTTTGGAGAAAGTGTTATTCCTTACTAGAACACCTTAGACCACTTTTCAGATGGCTAACATATCTCTTGTAATAACGAAATAGCAAAGTGTTAAGTTGATGATTAGTAAGGGCACAATTTATTAGTTTGTAAAATGAAGGAATATTTATCCAATTCTTTTGGATTCCAAGCATTAAATCTATGAATTCTTCTTGTTCAATTAATTGGGTATTTGATTTGAGTTGTGATATTTATTGCAGGAATAAAGATTATATTTTAGCTAAAATGGACTATGATGGATCAGTTATTATAGAAACTAAACAAGAAATTGGTATATGTAAGTAAAACTTTAATTTACCTGTTCTTGTATATTAACAAGGTCTTATTAACAAGAAGGGTACATTTATTTAGGTATTATTCTTTGGCCCCTACCTCTTTACCTGTAGGTGTTGGGTATCTGGGTGGTCTGGCATACATGCTGTAGAACATATGGCTTGTTATCTCTGTAAGTCATGGGTTTGATCCCACTCTTATATGTGACAAAGAGTAAGGTTTTCTGTCTAACCTTGTGAGTTTTCCTTGGACAATCTGGGTTCCTCCAACCAGGCCAATGAACATGGGTGTAATGCCATGCAATGTGTTATGAGGGAAATTTTGCCCTGGAAGTGGCCAGGTGACCTTTCTTTTCTGCCCCAACCAGGCTAATGAACATGGGCATAATGCCATGCAAGGTTGTATGTGGGAAATTTGTTGTCAATACATAGGACCTCATTTGTATTGTGTCTCAGGGGAAGCCAGGTTGCAAAATCTCAAGGAACTTTCTCTGCCAAAACCTGGTTTGTTAGCCAGCACTTACTCACCCCACCCACATAAGACCCAGTTAATTAATAAAATAAAAATAATTTAGTTTGTGTGAAGTGAATTATCAGTGACCATATATTCTTGTTTCGAACTAATACTTCCAATGGTCCATAAGAAAAAGGAGAATTTCTGTTAATCTTTACTTCAATGTTTTTTACTTCATCATTCCCTTAAATATTTGAATCTGTCGTAAAAGATGTGTATTTCTTTTAGATCGAATGAAAGTACCTCAGAATTTTGCAAATGGCAAACCTCATGAGTTAAAATACAGAAGAGATGGTACCGATATGTATGTTACTGTAAGTTGTTTTTAGTACTCACATTTGTTTCCGATTTTAATCAACTAGTAAAAAGATTTGGTCAAATGTTAAGTAATCAACCATTTTTGTGAGAATGTGAATATGTTATAGCAAGTTGTATTGTTTTGTTTTGTAATTTTTTAAAAAAATTCCTGTCATGTATATTTTGATATGTTTATATGTAAATCATACAGGTTACCCCATATACTGATAAAGGATTACCTATTGTAAGTAATAAATATATATCAAAACATCACCAAATACCATCACACCCATCCATATCTCTTATACTATCTTTAAATGTTTCTTTTATAACATCCACTAAGTTATATACTGTCATATACTCCTTTACTAAACCAACTTATTCATATTATTAAGGAATAGTGGTCTGGAGAGTTCTGTGTGTTAATTGAGTTACTTCCCTTGATTAATAAAAGGCTTTGATCCTAGATAGAATTCTGGGATGGAGTGAAATGTAAGATGGCTGTTTTTAATTAGCTCTTCTGATTGTCATAAACAATCCAGGCCATCTTGTGGCCTATACACCCCAATACCAGAATAACACAGATGGTACAATGAATACTACCTGGAGAAATATCTAGACTGGTTTAATCAGGTGTCTGAATATTGAGAAAATTCATAAATAATGATGTTGAATATACTGCCTTTTCCAAAAACTGGGGATTTAAAAGTAACTTGTGCTTTCTATGCCTGAACCAAAGAGAGACACCTGCTGACGTCATGTGCTAGACTCTATTTAAGAATTGAGAGATGACTACCGATACTAAGGTAGTCGCTTTCATCATATTGTAATCAAGTCAGTGTAGTCTCGCACTCCTCTAGGAACTACACCTTCATTCATGCAATGTTGCTACTCTTTCTGTCTCTAACATTAGGTTAACTAAAATTTCAGAATACACTTAAAAATAAAAAGATATTATCAACTAGGGGTAGTCTAGGAAATATTTGTCTGTTGAGTGAAGTGTTGTTAAATTTCTCTGATGATTCTAGAATTCACTTATTGCTACTACAATGTCTTGATCTTTTTTTCCACAGTAAAGCACTCCATCCTTATCCCCTCTCTTTTCTATGTGAACTCCTTTACAAGTGTTTTAACTGTACATATTCTCAACGTGTGTATATTGAAAGATATCGTGTGTTGTTGTTTTTTTTGTGTGTACGTGTTGTCATCACTTGGTGTGCTATTATTGATGTTGTTGGGTTCAGTCAAATCTCTTTGTAAATTACTAGTAGCTGTTTTCTCATTTAAGATAATAAATGACGGGTTTTGTAAAGTAACCCTCGATTATTATATAACCATATACTCTTTAAGCTGCTTATATATGATAATCTGTATAATGCACAAGGTGTCGGGATACTATTATTTATATTCTATACAAATGTATTGTCTTTTCAGATTAAATATACATCAATATATGTGTAAAAAATAATAAAAACTAGTTGCATATAATGTACACATATTTAGCTGTAAGATTTACTGTCCCTTACTTTAGTAAGATCTCAAAATAGAAAATATTTGTATAATAAATACTTTTACAATCTTCTTATGAAATTAGTGTTAGCATATAAAATAAGAGCATTAAGTTCAGGATATTATTTAAATGATAATCTATATACTTTATTTTGTAACACACTTCAGAAGGTCCTACCTAATAGAATTCATACTGGTACTTTAAAGGATCATTGTAGATGATCATTATGTTTATATCATAGCTAAGTTTGATGATGATCAGTTTATGCTTAGGTTAAGGAGAGATACACAATTTGATTTCATAACATCAATACCATGAATAGGTGTGAGAATGAGCATTTTCTGTTCAGGTTAAGTAGAGTGATAAGTAATGCTCGATGCTGTATAAAAAGATTAATGTGCAATTAGTAATTAATCGGTTTATCTCTGGATTAAGGCAGAAACATCAGCCTTACAGTTAGTTTTATAAGAAAATTGTTTTGAGTTTTGGATGTCATCAAAACAGCACATAAGGTGCAAAGTACCAGTGGACACCAGCTATTATTTATCGATCTCGTGCTGAACATCTATCACAATTTCTAGTGTGGGATTAGTTATATATGAAGACCTCTTTTAAAATATCAAACAGAAAATAATGAACTGAATAAAGATATATTTGTATATATTTACAGTTAGATGGTATACAAGAAGCTACAATGAATTATCCAGCATTTGATTTAGATGAGATAGATATGATATATGTTGGTGGTGTTATAGGAGAAAATGATGATTTATATAATCTAGTTAACTTTACAGGATGTGTCTCTAGTAAGTTATATATTATTATATCACAATATCTTATAGCTTACTAACTAGGAGTTCACAGGTTCGATTAGAGTGTTGGGTGAGAATGTTCCTCAAGATGCTCTAGTCTGGTTTCTTACGTCATTGGTGCAGGATAGAGGGCCTGACAAGGAAATGTTTTTACTCCCTCAACTGGGCAAAAGAAATGAGGTCCACATCTATACTTGTTGACGTACTCCTAAAAGATGAACATTATGCAGAAATGCCTTTGTCCAGGCAAAACCTCCATTATTCACTGCATGCTATATTTATTCTGTCTGTTAAATGAAGGTCAAACAATTTGCAAGAACCTTATTAGCAAGTTAGCTCGAAAATGCTTAGATAGTTGTCACTGTATGGATATTTCAGATGTAGTGTATGTACCATCTAAGACATCATTAGAACGGATTAGAACATTAAAAGATCTATATAATGGTGGAGCTGATATTACAAGTTTTGGCAAAAATATCACATCATGTTCTGCAAAACAGTTAACAGCTAGCAGAATACAAAATACACCCAAAACAACTGATAATGAATTTGATGACTATGAGGTAAATATTATACTTTTTGTAAAGTTTTCTTGCATCTGGTGTCTATTATAACTTTTTAGTTTGACAAAGGGAGTCTAATAGTTCTCATCGCGAATGATTCCAGGCATTTTTGTCCCCTGGATTTTGGGGAGAGAGCAGGGTTCTGGTACTATTGAAATGAATTTGACTCACTCACTCTCCCTCCATCACATCTATTGGAACACAATAACGTAATTGAGGTAGAATATTTAAACATGGTGTAGATGTTTATTGGGTGAGTTCAAAGCTGAACATTTTCTTCTTATGTTGATTAGAGATAAAGACTTTCATTTATGGATGCTTTGAAATGTGATCTTTGATTCTAATTTAAGAATGATGATACCTTGATTAAATTGAATGATGAGCAAAGTATGCTCAGGTTTAGCAGAGTTATAAGCAATTTGGAAGATAAATATGTGAAAAGACAAATGTGCAAATAATTAATGAGTGTCATTGATTTTGAGATTAGGGCAGGGGACCATCAAGTCTCATTGTTGGCTTGTTTTCTGTTTTACTTCCTCGATTGGGTTTGAATTTGGCACGAAGCATCAAAAATTGACGGATGTATGAGAGTTAATGAATGAGTAATATTATTTATTTAATTAACTGGCAAATTGTTGATCTTTTGTGAAGGATATTTATGGTTAAATCAGATGCCTTATTACTCAATCTGTTGCACTGTTTGGCTACATATCATCCAGGATGATGATGCAAACGTCTAATCATGTTCCTGCAACATGCAAGATCACATCAAGCAGCTTTGTTATGATGATAAAGAATGATTTGATATATTTTCAGATGGTAACAATGCCAGCATGGAATGTGAGATCAGCAGTTGCTGTTATAATAGGTTTACCCGTGGTACCAGTTGTTATAATAACCACACCATCTCTAGTCATACCAGCCAATAATACACTTACATTAATACATAGTAATACTGTTGATAGTCTTACAATAGGTATGTCAAATAATTTATTTTATTGTAACGCCCAGTGTTGATATTTCAAAATTTTTCTTGTCAGACATTTTTACAGAAAATAAAAGGGCATAATTCTTATCGTTAATTCAGACCACAATTAAAAATCACGTGTCAACAAAATATTCATATTCGTACATAATAAAAAAATAAGCGCACCTCATTATTTTTCGATATTTAATTCCTGTGTGGTAATCAAATTTATGTCAGTAATATTCCTACAAAATTATGTGTTGTCGTGATAGAATGAAAGCGTGCCAACTACTGCAGACTCGTACCTGTTTCAAAATTCCTCCAAAATTAACGTATTTTTTGGGTATAAGTCAATACATTATAACAGAACACAATTTTTATGGGAAACAATCACTGGTTTTATTCTAATAGCACGACGTTTCGACAAGTATCCTCTTATCGTTATCAAGCACAATGACATTTTTCACTCTTATACGGATGAAGGCAAAAAAAGAAATGACATCTTGAAATTTTTTGGGTGGTAACCATTGCTCCACAATGCCGAGCGAGTGACATCATCTGCAAAATGATAGCATTCAACCCTAGCACGCCCTATCGTCTAAAACAATTAAGTACTTACACTATTCCGATCGAAATATTTGTCGACATTTCTTAGCTTGTTTATTTCTTTATTTAAAAACATAAACCCCATTCAAAATATGATCATAAACCTGAGAATATGCCATAAAAATAGATTATTTTCTCCGACATCAGTCTTGTCGTAATTGTAATGTTTCCATCTCTTATGAGTAATATTTATATATGCAGTACAGTCAAATGGTTTTGGAAATTTGAATATTATTCACCATATCTTGATGTCTAATTGGGCATGTTCCTGGTCAGACGTTTGGAAAATACCGTAAGCCATGTCTGGCATATGCGGGGCGAAATATCAACACTGGTAACGCCCTTTGTCTATCATTCGTCCATCTAATTGGGCATGTTCCTGGTCAGACGTTTGGAAAATACCGTAAGCCATGTCTGGCATATGCGGGGCGAAATATCAACACTGGTAACGCCCTTTGTCTCTCATTCGTCCATCAACTTTTTTACATTTTCGAGAACATATTCTCAACCACTTGACAGATTTCATCCAGGATAGTAAATAGCACTTATTGAGACTTATTAAAATGTTGTTAATTGGCCCCATAGATGTACCGTATATGTTGTGTGAGTGAAATCAAATATGACGATATGTAATAATTGGTCCTGTAATAAATATATGGGTATGTTTTTTGAGTAAAATCAGATATGAGATATAACATAATGATAAGGATTTCTTCAATTGTCACTGTTCATAGGATTTACAGAATTCATTTTTTTAGAACTATCAATCAAATACCTCCAAACAATCAAATTAATCTTGATTCTTTTTATCCTTGTTTGTAGTTTTAATCTATTATTGTTGGAATGTATTTTTAAATGTTTATATTAGACTATGCTGTATAGATTTTGTTTTATTTTAGTGATTGCAGTGTCTATTATAGCATCTTCAATAATCCTAGCCATAATAATAGCTTTTCTGCTCATCCGACGTCGTAAAAGAATGAGAGAATATGATATTAAAAAAGAGAAAATGTTTGATGCAGATTATGATGTTAAAGTACCATTAAATCATGTTGATCCACCAATACCTACTGATCATTTGGCTAAACTAGATGAGTTTAGTATGGTGTCGGCTACATTAGGTCCAAGAAGTAAGTCCACCTTTGATTTGTTTACACTAATATCAAAGACAAGACATATAATATCTAACCAGCAATTCTTGGTTTAGCCTTCTTAATTACTGTTTAGAAAAAATGAGTTTCGTATGGTGTCAGCTACTTTTGGCCCGAGAAATAAGTCCACTATTGAGGTTTGTATACAATATATTACTGTTATTAGCATTACCGTATCTCAAAAGCAAATTAGGGATTACAACCCAGCTAAAGGTGTTGATCCAATTCAATTCTGTTTGTTTTTAAAATTAATGTAACAGCTGATTTGGATTTTGGACTGAGCTGATGTTTTTTACTTCTTAATATTTTCTTTCAGTGAGAAATCATGTTTCAGCTGACCCGATTAATAGAAATAGTCATGGTAGTTTTGTAAGTAGTAAAAAATGTTTGTTACGGGATTATTGTCCTCCTCAAGTAAATGTAGTGTTAGCGAATTAATGATCATAGTATTACAACATTATTAGAGAATCCACTTGGTTCTGATGGGTCAAATCATAAAAAATAGCTCATATTCATATTTGTGAAGCCACACTGTATTATTGATCAACTAGCTTAGCTACTTAAAATAGTTGATTTTACATCATACTTTTATTAAACATTTTGTATGTCATCTTAGGCCAATAAAAAAATGCAGAGGAAAATGCTAATATAGCATTAATTAGCTTGTTCTTGTTTCAGATTTATTGAGTAACTATCTCATAATCTCATAACTTTTGTATTTAGCCAATGATAGATGATGAAACAGCATTTAATAATACGATTTACAACAAGCGTAAAAATCGTCCAGCTTCATCAATATCAGAAGTTTTAGAAGAGTTGGAGAGAAGACAAAAAACGAAAGGTAAAAACTCTGATGTAATGTTATGAATGAACTAGAATAAAAGATTTATAGGTTCGTTTAGATTCTACCAACAGTTTGTCACAATTATTGTCCACAACACCAATTGATAATCATTATGGTAATTCAGATGTTGTCAAAGTTTCTAGTTAAATTGGCGTTGTGGGCAGAGATTATGACTGATATTGACATCTTTACCTTGTAGTTAATAGCAACCAGGCTCTATTTGATGTCAAATGGCATGTTTGATTGCAAAGAATCCAAATCTTGACTCTCTTTTCAGATTGCAAATCCAAATTTGATTTCTTAGAAGATTTGATATGTCCTTTATTGACTGCCATTTTGAATCGAAATAATCCACTTCAGCAAGTGGATTAAATGGTTCATACATCTAAAATTGGATTTGAATATCTGTAGGAAACAAACAAATTGGATTCTAAATTTGAAAAGAATGTAGATTTATGATTCACAGCATTCAAATGAGCCTTTATTCTATCTTACTATTATTGTTTGTAGCACACCCTGTCCATATATTCTGTATACAAATACTTCCCTCCTGTTAACGTACAGTTCCATATTGGAATTGCCATATTTCCTGTTTATACTATATTGCACTCTCTACCAGCATGTCCTTGACACTTTATTTCTTGTTTGATGATGAAAATGCTGGAACGCTAAACCATACTATGTATATATATAATATTCAGTTTGGAAAATTGAAAAGAAACAGAAGTTTGGTTTGAATGGCAATTCAAATTTAAAAATTTGTTTTGAATTTCGGAGCAAGAATAACTGTACAGATTGCAGAGATTTTCCTTTTACAAATTTACAATTGAAAAGGAATCAATATTGGCTGTACAAGATTTTCAATTGAAGAAAATGACACGTGAAGAAAATTTTGTATCAAAAAGGATTTGTTATAAATCTCTGCACTTTTATTTCAGAGGAAGTTAAAAATGAAAGCGAGGATGTTTGTAAAACAGATATAGATTTAAATCGGGCACATGGGGAGGGGGAATTAGAATGGGATCCGCAAGTAGATAAAGCACCTTTAACTTATGTAAGTTAAACAGATGGACAACTCTACTATATTTGACATTATATAAGAACTTTTGTATTAGAGATTGGCAATGATTAGACGTTAATATAAATATTAAACACTGTAAAGTTTTGTGAATCTCAACCATTTAATTTTGATCTTTTTTGATTTACGTATCAGTGATATTTAATTATGCTTACTGCATGAGAAATGCATATAATAGGCTGCATGAACTATATTATATATTATTGTCCCCCGCCTTTCAGTGAAATCGGGAGGCTCTTAAATTGGTTGTATGTTGCATTCACTAATTTATCATTCTCTGCAAAAGTTGAATTCACTGGGTGGGGGACCACAGCTAGCTTATTAATCAAAATTCAAAACATTCACTCCATTTTTCATACGTTAATTAGTTTTACATTATTCTGCTTCATCCATCATATGTTGCTTAATCCATCATTTTATCATCATTTACTACACACCTTGCATGCCACCTATTTCTCACCCTATTTCCACCCTACTTAGCATCGTGGCATTGTATTATTTTCTTCTAGGGTGAAATCACTTTTTTCGACACCCCTCTTTTGTTGAGTATCCCTGATAATCTGGAAGAATTAGAAATGTCGGCTAGTTCATCAATAGTCAGTTTAGAGGTTTGTATTTCTGCTTCGTGTCAAGTGCTCAGATTTATTATTTCTTTTATTTTAATGGCTTCAGTTTTTTTTTTTTCTTTTTTTTTTTTAAAGGAAACTGATAAAGAACAAGTTTGCATTATACATAGGTTATTTTGGGACTAACACACAGTTCAGTTTTATTTCAATAATTCGCTTGCTTGTTGGGGTCTTTAGCAGTGGAAGGAAACTGGAAGACCTGGAGAAAACCCACAAGGTTGGACAGATGACCCTTCCCTCCCATGTACAAAAACATTTGTACCTTGGGTTATGCCATAATGTAACGTGTTCTTTGTTATAAATGATTTTCTTCCTCCCGCCATATTTATTAGGTGATGGGATATTTACTGCAGACTTTAACTAGAGTAGAAAACTATTCTAACCATAATCTTTTAGAGGCATTTAGTAACTGAATATTGATTAGAGTAATGAACTATAATACATACTTATGGAAAATATCTACCAATTTATTTGGGCGATGTTTTAAAGAGTATTCACTCAACAGTTATCCAGATAATGTTTAAAAGAATAATCATTAAAATGTCTCCCAAATAATATTAGTAGCTGGATAACTACTAAAACAAATCATTTGTACAATAGTTTGAATATTTTCTAATATTGTTATGGTTATTGTGTAACTTTAATTAATTGACAATATGAATTTAATCAAGCACTGAAGCACGCACTGTCATAACAAATTAATTCCATAAGATTTTGATAGATTACACTAATTGTAATAGACTAACAGTCACAAAGGAATCTCAGAGTATGGTTATCCGCGAGAGTTGTGTAGCCTATGATCCTTAAATAAAATTATATATTTCATTTTATCAATCTGTAGAAAAAGGAGGAAGATCTGGCAACAGAAGATTCCGGAAATCCAAACAGTAATGGTGAATATAATGGTGATAGTGGGTACGAGGCGGAGTCACGTCCGGAAGGAATGGAAGATGAGGCTACTCCAGATACGACTATAGACGATTCTCCGCAAAAAATGTACATGTACGATATATCTGGAGTAGATTTACAAGCTTCACCTAATCTCTCCGTTCATCAAAAACTTCTACCAGCCGAGCCTAATGTGTAAAAATATTGTATAAATGTAGAAGAAATATTTCTTTCATCTGTGTTCAATTCAACGGTGTTTTGTGATCATATAATATGTAGAATTACATCTGTCATATAGTTGAATTTCTTCCATTCTATTTATAGATCCGAGTTGATATGTGAATCAATAATGTAGAAATTGCTCTATTCATTCATTTTAATTTGAAACATTGCTCTTGAATATTCATGGCAGGGTTGTTTTATTTTTCTTTGTTAATTAATCGTAGCTTTGTTTTGTATTATATTGTGATTGAGCAGGGTTTCTAGATACAGTCTTAAAGAAACCTATAAATTATATATCATTATTTATGATGTACCTACATATTTATTCTAGTGCTTTGTAATGTGTAGCTAAACTGAACTATTGAAAATGTTTTTATCAGTATTATTTGTTCATTCTGTCTTGTCTGTAAGCTCATCAATTTATTTTCCTGGTTGATTTGTCATTTCATGATAATAATCATGGAAACCAATTTTGTCATATTATATTAAGGAAGTGTTTACTAGAGATATATCTGAAAGCTTAATTTCTTTTTTTCTTCAGTATTACATCATGTACTCTTCTTGAATGTGTGATACAGTGATTTGTATCTGTGCTATTCTAGGAATCGTGTGTTCATCGAAACCCTGCCCAATTAAATATTTTTATATTATGATATAGAATTATATCTTTTATTGTTATTATTTATTTACAAATGTAAATATTTGTTTGTTTATCTTCAGTGCTGCCTGTTTATTATTTTAATACATTTTAAGATGAGTGCTACTCATAACTTCAAGATAAAGAATAAAATTAAACTAAGTGCATGTAAATCGATAAACATTCAACATTCCATTACAATTATGTTGTGAATTGTGATTTATTGTAAATGCAAGTCATAATTTGCTAACTCATTCATGTACTGGTACATAAGGTTCAAATTTAAATCAAAGCTTAAAGTTGCATTATGTAAGGGCTAAATCAGCCCATTGCAGATCTTTTTTGGCTTTAAATGATATATAAATTATTATTTAGACATTTATTCAAATGACAAGCCTATAATCAACTCTCTAGACCATCAGATGATGGATACTTAAATGGATTAAAACAAAGTTGCAATTTAATGATTTAATTTAAAAGTGGCAAAGTGAGGTTAAAGCTCGAATAACAAGTATCACTGTTACGATAATGAACAATCTTTGCCACATCTGGTCAAACTTCAAACAGTAAAATCATATTTCCATCAGTATATGTAGGAATGCACAGTGTCAGGACATTTTTTTTCTTTGCTGGTTATGTGTGCTATTAGTACAAGTCTAACTGCAGTATATACTAGTCAAGTGCCTTCATTTCATTATCAGTCACTCTGGCTTTTCTTCGTAATCACTTAAATTTTCATTTGATAACTCTATCTTGCCGAAAATTATCATTAACAATAAAAAAAAAAATGTAATTTAAATATCTATATTGAAGCAAGCAAAATTAATCTTTTTTTTATTTTTTATTGTCACATTTCATTGGAAAAACAGCTCCATGGTCGAATCTTTCATTTTTGACCTATTTAATTATTTCAATAAAAAGAAATGGCACATGATTCATGTAAACATAAATTTCCACATCACCAGTTAATATTATTAATTATTCTCTTTCATGTTTCTTTAACAAAACAGTATTTGTATAAAGGAAACCCAGAAAGTGAATATGAAAACTTCATTATTTATTGTAAATAGACATCATTGTATAATAAGTTCATATTATCATGTGATTTGATGTTACTGTGTGTTAAGTTTGTATAAATACTGGTATTTCATCATCTCAATTTCACTGTACTTGACATGCTTTATGAATATATGACATCTACCTTGTAATTATATAATTAAATGTACAAAATTTAATCAACCTAATTGCATTAAAATTAAAAACGGCAATCAAAAAACCTAGTTGTGTTTTTTTTCCCTTAAATTTATTATGAACTTAAAATATTTTTTATTGGTTGATTTATATGAAATAAAATGTAAAAATATTTCTTGTAGTTTTGAAGTTTTAATATCAAGGTGTATTTTCCCAGTAGAGCAACTAGAGTAAAATAAATTAATTATACACTGATTTCATTTAGACACACAGTGTTTTTGTCCCTTCATGTTATAGCATTTGCACAATTGTTGGGTTTGGGTCTTTAGTAATGGGAAGGAAATAGAGAAAATCCATGAGGTTAGGCAGGCAACCCCTACTCCTCATCATATCCAAGCATGGGACTGAAATCACACTTGATTCTATGAAATACTTTATGATCAGAATGCTTGTGTTAGACAGTCAGCCATCCCACTCCACCTTTGGTAATTAGAAGATCGTAGGAATGAAGGGATTTACGTTATATTTGAGTGTAGGCCTAGTGCATTTATTACATTAGCTTTAGGACATGTTTACAGTTGATGTGGTCGACTATGGCTGTCTGTCACCCCTAGATTTTCATGTTCACATGTTTGTCACAATGGAGGTTATAATATTGATATAAATTCCATTTATTTTCAATGCCCCTTCTGGAATTTATATTGTGTATTCTTGAGAAAGGAAGAACTGTATTAATTTCAGTGATTAGTAACCTACTATTTTTGTGGTCATTTAGCTTATTCACGGATGAATTCTACTGTTTTCCAACAATTTAGTTCCATAACATGCAGAGTTATGAAATTTTATTACTACAATTTTGGCTCCAATCTGATCCATTTGAGATATTCAAAAACTGTCTATGTTATATAAGATGAAATTGGATGACTCATTCCTCAAGTTCATAAATACAAGATGATAAACTAGAACACTGAATGAGTACTGACGTGTTTCGGTATGTCATGTCAGGTCATGTCAACAATCAAGTTACACCATGAATTATTGAGTATAGTACTCCAATACCTATTAAAATGAAAAAACCTGTCATTTTGAACTCTTAATAAAACATGGAACTATATGGCATCAGGGTCATCATACATAGGACGTTAACACCATATCATTTCATCATACATGCAAAGGTCAAGGGTCATTGAAAGGTTAGGTCACCAGCTCGAAGGTGAAAAGTGGAACATAACTCAAAAGTGAAACCGGAAGTAAACAAAATCAAAATTAAAAAATCAGCTCCCTAAGAACTGTTGCCATTTGGAGTAGGTTCAATACAAAAAAAAAGGTTTTCGAAAATCAGAATTAAAATGGCGACTATTAGTATAATAGTATATGGTAGACCTTAATTTCATTTAGTGAGAAGATTTCAAATATACTAGTGGGTGCATCTTTACCAGTTGAGTACCCTGCACTATATAAGATTAAAGGGAAGTAATCATGGTGCTTGTGAAAACGAACCAAAGTCCAGTGGTAGAAAAATTTTCAAAATCATATTAATTATATATTGAGCAAACTGAGCAAAAAATTCTCATAAAATACTCTGCAACAAGTAAAATGTTTTAATAAAAATTGCTATAAATGAAATATACTGTATGAACCAGACACCCAATGTATGGCTAGGAACATGGTTTTTGGATGTCTTTAACCAAATTTTCTGTAAACTTAATGAAACAGGTCCTTTTGTGTCTTTGGCAGTAAATGTGGCACTTTTATAGAGTTATAATATTTATTCTATAAAAATAATGACAAAATGAATTTAATAACATAAAAAACTATACCTTTAAATCAAACGGGAATGTAGTAAATCTTAGAACATGTATATTATGGTACAATTAAAAAGAAGTTTCGGAAAATGATATGCTTTATATTAAAAAATCTTAAAACATGTAAATGTTACAAAAAAAGAAGTTTGGGAAAATGATATGCTTTATATAATTTGTAAAATACTGCCACATATGAAAATTTAAATCACAACCCTATTTTTGAAGCCACACCCCCATGAATATTCTCCCACGTGTATTTACATAAATAAAGTAGACAGTAATAATAAGCATCTTTTCCTGTTAATCCAAGTTGGCCTTGATGACAGCGATACGTATGAATTTTTACTTGATCGGGCTGCTTCATTTTCTGTGTATACATTGCATAAATAATATGTTCATCAGTATTAGCTAACCCATTATCTAATAAACTTTCCACACTCTTTTTATACACTTGAACAAACTGTTTTATAGTACTGTTAGTGCCAAGTACCATACTACCCGACACCCAAACAGCACGATACATCATAACAAAGGCCAAATCTAAATGAGGATCGTGAGGCCCCACTTGGGTAAAACCAACTTTTTCACGGTTAAATTTACTTGGTGGTATGAGTTTAAAGATCCCAGTCCCTGATTCATCAAGTTTACGAAAAGCAGTCACATCCACCCAAGCAAAATATGGCGTTTTAAAATAGTTCTCTTGAGTAACGTTCAGTAAAAATTCATATTTAGCATGGATTAAACAAGAAAATTCAGCACTTGTGGTATACGGATAATGTTTTGGATAAACAGACTGAGAAAATATATCCTTAATTTGACGAAAAAGTGAAAAAGCCCACAAATCTTTTCTTTTCACTTTAATAATTTTAGTATGTGTAGTTGGAATACAACTCCGCACTTTTTTAACATATTCGGCTGTCTCGTCATCTTCCACAAATACAACCACAGGATTGGTCAGTTTACTAAAAGGCCGAACCCACTGTTTATATTTAAATGGAGAATGATAGTCTAATAATCCATTTCCTTTTTTAACTAAACCTAAATCAAAGAGTGAAGTAACAACTGTTATTTCATCAGGTTCATGTTTAACCGCAAATTTTGGTACCTTTTCGTATCGACACCATGTTCCCTGCAAAATATTTTGGACAGATATTTAGTATTTTGAAAAAATTATATTAATCCAATAAGTTATACTACACCTTTAGTAAATCATGCAAAGATGCAGCTAGGTCCGACAGAGACAGATTCAAATGCAACTATTTTGACTGTGGAACATAACAAGGCTTTAAACATAAGATGAAACCTTTAGCCTGTACAGCATCTTTATCAGGGTATAAATGAATGAATATTTACTAATAATGCATTCAATCATTATCTATAAAACAATAATTAGATGTACTAATAAATGTGTTATATTTAGGGTTACAATAAACTATACTTACAACATAAGGATTTCCATACCAGATACCAATATTGAAAGTAACATGATCTGAAAAAGTAATTATAACATGCCAAATGAAAAACTGAAATTAATGAAGAAACTGGGACATTTGTTATTCTGATCGGACAAAAGCAAAAATGTGCACGAAGGGCGTGGCGTAAATGAGCGTGCCAAAGACGCAAGTTTATAAAGTCTATAAACCCGTACATCGTTAACCAATAAAATTATGCCCAATTCCTATTTTAGGCCTGTATTATGCACTGAATTATATATTTAGATGATGTCATGAAGCACGAGTGTTTGTAGCAAACACAGTAGGCCTATACATTAACCACTGGTAGGGTGATCCGTGCACTCTACAGAAAGTTGGTCTCGACACGGCTAATGTGCACGCTTCAGTGGTTGTCTAGAACTATCAGCGGTGGAGTGTATGATACCATAAATAGCCATGGCACGTGCAATTCTCTACAAATCTATCGACTATTACAGCCGTAAAAAATCTATTGTTGACAAATTTGAATAGCAGTAAAATTTAGCTTCTTGGTTATTACAGCAGCTTTAGAAATTACATTTGTTTTATTTTTTAAATTGCTTTATCATTAACTGTACCGTTAAGAGTGGCATCTTTTGGTTTAGTACAAATAATATCTCTGAATCACTTTCGTTAGCAGGAACATGATACTAGCAGTAGTTTCATTTTACTTTTACAAGCTTCTTAAAACAATTGTTGAGCTGGCTAACGTACGTGTTTCTAAATTCAATTTCTTGTTCCAGCTTTCTGTTATGTTTCGTAAAAAGGTAGTCTTGATTATCCCAACTTATCAATCAGACGTAAAATGGTCGGTACACTGATTAAGCGAGACTAATTTCAAAACAAGGGCACGTAACCTATCTTTTACTCAAAAGTGTCTGGATGCTATCCAGTTTCAGTCTATTATTTATAGATGATTAAATGGTCATAGCTTATTAAGTACAACATGATCGTTTATTTAGTGACTATAGTATAATTGTGTGAAACTGATTTAAGGCTTGGTATATATATAAATATTGTGGCGTAATTGTCGAGATATTTATATTTAGAGATTTATGGTGGGTCACCCTACCACTGGTTCATGTGTTTTGTGTTATTATTTTCAATTGAAATACACCTGACGATCAAACCGGGACATTTAGACACATGAGAGGCATCGGGACGCTACAGTAGAAAAGACCTCCAAAACCGGGACTGTCCTTATAGTAAGACCGGGACATACAGTAACCCTAACCAGAAGGCAAATAGCCATTTTATTTATTTCTTGAAACTTGCGACCACTGATCAATCAAGTTAGCTATGACTTCGGCAATACGGGTAATTGATAAATTGATCACAAGAAACCAAATCAAATACAATATAAAATACTTACATATTAAGTAAACCAATCCAGAAAATAGAAGTAAGACTGAAGCCAATATTATTCTACGTTGTGTGTACCTTTTACCATTATGTAGAAATGTTGTAACAACGTAGTTTGGTAAAAGGTTCTTCATTTCTTTATCAAGTCATCACTTTCTCCCTAAAAAGATAAATTTTTGTGGAATGATTTCAATCTGATTAAAACACAGATCCTATTTTGTTTCGTTTTTTATAGTTCAAAATTTCGTTTTGCTCGTCTTTACTACACTAGGATCTGGAAGAGTTGTTATCATTGACATGTTCTGGATGATCTTAGGGTTTAGCCTAACGGTCATCCCAAACTTAGGCTGCCTATCTACAGCTAGCTCCGGCTGAGAATAGGCCCTAAGCCAATTATCCGACATTTTAATTCCTACATCAACGATTTTAAGTCGAAAACACTGAGTATGCTTTTAGAAATTTTTAAAAGTATTTATTTTTCGTCTATTGTCATATTGAATGAAATTAAATATGTTTATTTAGCCGCTGTGTGTATGAAACATGTCAAACTAATCAAAGCCGAATCACAAAATAGTCCTCTAATTATTCAATATGGCGGCGCCCATGAAACATAATTTCACAGAGGCGGTTTTGTTTGCGAAAACAAATTTAGGAGTATCTAACCTTGTTTTGAACGATAAACAGATTGAAACTCTAAAGACAGTTTACAATGGTAAAGAATTTATTGCAATATTACCCATAGCACATATTATATATAGCTTTTACGCGAGTGTCAGCGACATGGCGTGTTTACATAAAACACACGTGCTTGGGTTATTTTTACTCTGTTGTCTAAACAAAACGGTGTCTAGTCGATAAGTCCCGCCCCAAAATGATCACGTGAGCGTTTTAAATGGAGGGTAATCAGGGCAGTGTCACATTCTGGGAAGTATGACGTAGATGGGTCGCTGCGAGCAGTATGCCTAACGGTCTGTTATAGTGAGCTTTTGGCCTGTGGTGCACGGAACTGTGGGTAACCCACTAGAAACATCAATGCTGATTGGTGGTCAAATGTCTGACATCATAGGGTTAGGTCATCGAAATATAGATCTGTATTTTGATTAGATTGGAATGATTTTGACATAAAGGAACAAGTTCATGAAGACTTTTATGTTATTATAGTTATTAGAGGCATTGGAGCTGCGGTGATCTTTGCCGGACTGCAAAACTTTTTTTCCCAATTGGCTGTAAACTGACTGCAGACCTACACCCGTGTGTCCAAATTTGGTTACATCATTAGAAGAGCATCTAGCTTTAAAAACCGAGCTACTTGGTGTAACAGGAAAATGAAATGAACTGAAATGGGGTTTAATCTTGTCATACTTTTCTGCTCCCAGCAGGTTAATGGCAACAGGATGCAGTGCTCTGTGGGTGAGGGAAATGTTGCCTGGCAGAAATTGAATTCCAATTTGCAAGGGTTCTTTTACGTAAATACCAAAAAAAGGTGTTCAGCCTATACAGGACCATATTTTTTTAATCCCATCCAAACAACTAATCACTGTTCTTTGCCAGGCCCTCTGTCCTGCACCACTGACAAAGGGGAAACCATGCCGGAATATTCCAAGCAACATTCCTGCCCATGGCAATATCGAACCTCCATCTGATCTATGATCTTGAGCCAGAACTTTATTCACAGTCACTGACTCACTGCAGCTCCCCGTACGAAGAACCCTTTAAATTTTAAAAGTTGAAATTCAAAATATGGGTAGGATAGCTATCCGTGTAAGTCTTTTCAGTCTGTGGTGAGGCTCCTATTTTAGATCTTTGATTTCTTATTCTAAAAAAAAAAATCTTATACTTACAGGGAGTTCCTCCTTACTTCCTCTCTATTTTTCAGAAATTTGTCTTTTTCCTGTTTACGCCAAAGGGAAAACGAATGATTAGGCTAATGGGAGATAACTAATAATTTACCAAATTGTAGTCTTGAATGACCAAACGTTTTAGAAAGTCGAGCTTTGGTCAGAACTAGCAGTTATTTCCCCTCAACTAAACGGCGACTAATAATCCACAACAAAATTTCTCCGTGAACTTGGCATATCCCAATAATTCATTTATTAATCCACTTTCAGGGTCCATGCAACACTCCACTTTTTGAAACAATTTATGGGGGTCGATTTGGGGGGGGGGGGGCTAAAAAAAAGATTTGGGTGAGCCAATCCGTTAAGAGAATAAAATGCAGGCCTACCGCCGTAATTATTATTTAAGAATAAGAAAACCTAAAAGTTATCAACCTAATTTGTATTTAAAAAAGAACTAAAACAGATAATAGAAATGTCACGAACTGTTTTATTCATGTAACATATAAGAAATTGCACCGTGTAATTTTGTCATGTTTTTTTTTCTCACAAAAACACTCAAAAAGTTCTCTGCAAAATTTGCCATATTTTGTAGATACAATAAAAGGTAATTTTAAGCACCCAAACATTTGATCTTGCTCCAAATAAAGTGTCTAATGTGTATTTTAAAATGTCTCTTCTCTTTCTATATTCCGGTACTTGAGGAATTATAGACATTTTATGTGGTCGACATATTCATAGCCAATTGTGACTTAACAATAAGCTGTATCTGCCTACTCGAGATTAATACAGCTTATTTCATTTCCTCATTCAACCACATATACTAACATTTTTGATCTTCCATTAAAAGAGCGGTTTTAATATGTGACCCAATTTCTTTAGACCAGCAGATGCGACCATCGATATCTCTAAATAAACCCATTTCAATATATACTATTCAAAAAAAGTAGGGGATATTTGATTTTGGGGGCATAATACGAAAATATGCAAATGACTACGAAAAAAGTCACTATAGAACCTAACAGAAGAAACATTTCCAGTTACATGTGACGCCCAAACGCACCAATAGCTACCGCATGGAATGCAGGTGATGCTTGGGATCATCATGGGGGTCCAACCCAAGATTTGCACGACTCTGACTTTGAATGTTACAGTCATTGTGGCATTGAATTCCAGGGTGGAAACACCAGTTTAATTGTTTTAGTGACCAGAAAACAAATTTTGATATGCGTCGGCTTACCCAAAATGAAAGGTTACGTGCCCTTGGCATGCTACAGATCGGCACAACACAGGCGGTTGTGGCGCGGACGATGAATGTTTCTCAGTCTGTCATAAGCAGGCTATGGTCCAGATACCGTGATACACAATCTGTACAGGACAGACCACGCTCAGGTCGACCAAGGCGACAACTCAAGCCCAGGATCGATTTATCCGTACCTTGGCCTTGAGAAATCGTGTCATCACTGGTGTGAGAGTGAGTGGCCAGACGATTCGGAATCGACTGCATAGGGGTCACCTTCGCGCCCGACGTCCTCGCGTGATCCCTTATTTGAGAGATCATCACATTCAGGCAAGACGTCGTTGGTGCAGGGATCGTCAACACTGGGATAATCGATGCTGGAGCAATGTGATGTTTTCAGATGAGTCAAGGTTCACTGTTGATTTTTGGGACAGACGTAGGAGGGTGTGGCGTCGTCGAAACGAGCGCTTCCAAGACGTTAACGTCATCAGACATGATCGATTTGGGGGTGGTTCTGTTATGGTGTGGGGAGGCATCACTGTTGCTGGAAGAACGGCTTTACATGTTGTTGCAGGGCGTGTTACAGGCCAGTACTACCGGGACAACATCTTGGCAGTCCATGTTGTGCCGTTCGCACGACGTCATGGCCGCCGTTTCATCTTCCAGGATGACAACGCAAGATGTCACAGGGCCAGGATCGTTACAGGTTACCTCCAACAACATAACATCACCACATTACCTTGGCCAGCACTGAGTCCCGACCTCTCCCCCATCGAGCATGTCTGGGACATGCTTGGACAGAGGTTACGTCAACGTCAACAACGTCCTGCCAATGTCCAAGAACTTGCTGCTGCGTTGCAACAGGAATGGGACAATCTGGACCAAAATGACCTTAGACGTCTCATTAGGAGTATGCCACGTCGGATCAATGCTTGTTTGGCAAACAGAGGAAGATTTACCCGTTACTGACTTGGTTGTGATGCTGTGGTAACTTTGCTGTTTGACCCCGGGTATCATTTTACCCTTATAATGGTCAGTCTGTGCCTTACTTAGTCTAACCATCATTTGGAATAAATCGATGAATGTGAACTTCATTTCATTTTGTCATTTGTTTCTTCGTCAGTTTCATTAGGTGACTTTAATAACACTTAAAAATCAAATATCCCCTACTTTTTTTGAATAGTATATGCTCCACTATCCAAAATTTTGTTGACAAGGTCCTTTGTTCTCATTCAAAGAAATTTTTAGATATAAATGAAGTTATTTTCTTTAAAAGAGACATGGAAAAGATTCACCACTGGATTATAGTTCCTGGTGATTTTCAACAATATATCATAAAATCGACTTCATTCCATTTGACCAGTGTATATGACATCTACTGGATATTTTGAAGGTTTAATAACTGTAGGGATATGATTTTTCCATAACAATAAAAGTCGAAAACAGATTTTTAATTATTTAATTTTTATTGTTTTAATTGGTTTTCAATATATATAACATACAACCAAATCCCATTCTGTTTTTTTTTCAAATAGCACACAGGTTTTGATTTGAACTATATTACAATAATTGAACATAACTATTTAATTTCAACTCATTCATTTAATTATATTCAATCAAATAAAACTTAATAAAAACTCTTAACAAAAAATACAAATAAATCAAATGTGTTAACCAAAATACAAGTAATTAATTAAAGAAAAAAGTAATTAATAAACTTATCTTAATCAATAGACATTAGTTAACATTTCATTAACATCTATTGGTTATCTCAAAATACACTTTCTATATCATAAAATCTACTGAATAATTGTGGTTTTGAAACATTTTGTTTTCAAATATATTTTTATAGGTAGCATTTTATACTGGCCTGCACTCTCTATGTGCGATTATAATCAATAACCATATATCTTTTTAGTACAAAATATTAATTGATGAAAGCATTATTATTCAAAAAACAATAGCTATAACATCAATTAAAACATGATAACTTTTTTTTATTAAACACTTTTCTAATGAAATAATTGTGATTATGTGAAGCTTATTGTTTATCATTAAACTAATGACACAAATTGCTTGAAAAATATAAAAATAATATGTTAAACTAAACAAAAACCAAAAAAAACCAAAAATACAAATAATTGTAAGCACTTCAAAGGGTTTTGAAACAATTTCTTAAAAATAAAAAAAATGTGATCTCAAATGCATCGCAAATCTAAATATAAAATAATTTCAAAATACATTCATACTTGCTATTTACTTTTTTTTTCAAAGACAAGAATTTTTACACCTATCTCAAAATAAATATAATAAATAATTTTGGAAAAAGATTCAAGGTGCTGATTTATGAATCGAGTTTACAATGGTTTGAGATCACAAAGTGTGTAACATACACAAACAAAATAAATATGTAGAATTTGGTTCTAGATTAACAATTTAATCAAATAAACAAAAAATATTAGAATTGTAGATGATGGACTTTTCATCAAAATATATCTTATAGCTATAAGAGTTACAAAAAGATATAAGATGCATTATAAGAATAGTATTGTTTAAATGTGGTAGTCAGTATAAAAGAGAGAATTTATCAATATATTTATAAAACAGTCTAAATTATTAGCCCATAATGATTTTTTTTTTTTTTTTTGAAAATATAAGACCTTTGCATTCCAACAGACTTCCTGTTCTTCATATAGATTGTACATGAAATCTTGAACAAAATATCTAAAGCCATTAGTTTGTGCAAATATATACTTATAACAGTTGATATATTGAACAAAGAAAAATAAAACAAAATATAAAGAAAAGAAGATATATATACCACTTATTTCTTTGTGTGTTATGTTTTGTTTTACCGGTATATATGTGCCTGCACATCATCATCATTATTGCTCATATTGTATATATTTACATCAGATTTATTTGTTATATCTGTCATTCATTCCTTACTTACTTTCAAATATATTCACATAATATCCAGAGAATAATTAATAACAATAAATTGCTAGAAAAATTACCAAAAAATTATGCTTGTTCTCCTTCGTGTGAAACTACTACTCGAAGCTTAATTTAAATACATCCATTACAACATCTAACTTCATATAATAAATATACAAAATTTGTGAAATAGAGTGGTAATTTACAGAGATACATTTAGACCATTTAAAATTACAAAGAAATATCAAAAGCCACTAATTCCTAATACAGTATGAATAGTTATAAGAAAAAGATACCAAATGACACAAAGACTGATTATTATTTTTATTATTATAATGTTAATAGAAAAAGACAATTTTCACCAAAGACTAAAAACAAGAAAAATATTTGAAATGATATAGCACTTGTTACAACAATTATTTGTAATAATAAATATATTGTGCTTTATTTTTTTGCTGGTTATTATAATGCAAATAGTGCAACATTTCAAATTGATCTTATCCTTGATAAGAATAGATTACTAATGGCCTTCAATAGAAGACCAGTCAATAACACCAAAAACAAAACAATAAATTGTGCATTTTGTTAACTTGTATCACCTTTCCCTACCTGGCCTCAACAGCGTGCACCAGTGTAGCTTTGTACACAGACAACACATATTATAGAGCCATTAAACACGACCGACATTTAAACTGTCCCAACGAACTAAAGCCACAAGTTTCCTCACCCACTCACCTCACCTTTATCAAGGGATGAGGAAAAATTTGCATCAGAGATTGACGTCGTCAAAATCTTTGACAATAAACCTTCTAGAGAGAAGGTTGGAACAAAAACCGATCAAAATTCCCTAAACAGTTTTCATACTGCCAAAGACTCATGTTCTAGATTGGAATTCAGATAAGCAGATGTATCCACATTATCACTTATATCCATTGGGTTTGGTTCTTGTGCACTAGACGAGGACGATGTTGACGTTGTGCCCGTCTCTATCTTGAGAGTGTTGTACATATTAACAGGTGTTGTCAATATCTGTTCTGTATTCCATTGATATGGACCTTTCATCTCCCGTCTAGCTTTTCTCTTCATTCTACGTTCTTGCATCATCATCTGTAAATGTTGAACCTTTTCCTTCAATATTACATTATCACCGGTTTTCTCAACTACTACTTCTTTCTTCAAAACTGAAAACAAAACCATGCAAGGTTCATTAGACATACAATATTCTAGACCAAAAGGCAAATACAGACTTTTCGTCCACCCGCATCAAAACAGCAGTCTTATCAAAAAGCATATTGATCAAAAATTATCAATAACAATCACTCCTGCTAAGTTATGGCCATTTTAAGTTTCCCTTAATTTCTATTGATTTCCTAACATCACCATTTTCTGTCTTAGACAATCAACCAGCTACTTAGGAAAAACTTGTTTCTATCCATGTACATCAGGGTCAAGACGGTTCTAAACTAGTTTCAGCCCTTATTTTATTCATTTTAAATAAGGAAATGAGTATGTGAATTGCAGTTTTATTTAATATATTTTTGAAACAAGTGTATTTACTGTGAAACTATGGTTACCATGAGCAATGCTTTGGAAAAAAATCTAGAATTACACAACTCATTTATATACATTAAAGAAACTAGTTTAACATATTTTTGAAAAACTTACCTGGGCTAGAGGGAGTGACTGGTACAGGTTTTCTTACAGGTGCTCTAATTTGCACGTAAGGATGACTAAGTTGATAAGCGTTAACACCTAATAAATCATTCAATATATGTACAATTGTGCTCACATCTTTCTTTGGTTTACCATTTTGATCTTGCAATGTCGGGTCCAAGGTTCCTGAAATAATTAATACACGATTTAATTAATAACCACATTCTTCTGAACAAACATTGCAAACTATTTTCTAGTCTTGATATTTACAAGGTAATAAAGAACCTGCATAATATCATTTTTGTAGGGACTTATTAATCCCGCTTATAGTTCTATTGCTCTATTGCAAGTATCACATGCCAACAGAGCGACTGATGTCCCACGCCTCAATCCCCCCAAAAATAGATGATACTCATTAATTACAAGTATATTTATCTTTTTGTAAAGTATTGAGCAATCAAATCGTTTATCATTCTGCATAACCTAATAAAGCAGATAATGCTTATTATTGAATTTAATCAAGTTACTGATGTTATAGAAATAAACACCTATTATTTTCACCATAAAATAAACATTATCAATTCTACCTGGTCTTACACCAGATCAATTTAGACTAAAAAATGTCAGTTATCAAAAGCGTTGCAAGCCATATATTATCATGTGTGTTAAATGTGAAAACCTATAAAAATATGAAGGTTCCTTTCTGTTTTTTCTTGCTTTTAAGGCTGCAGTTACATTGACATTATCTGAAGTAAATTACTTAAAGAAATTAAGTTAAGATCAATGTTTTTGTGCACACTGATAGGATTAAAAATCATGTAAGCAGATAGTTCATTAAATAGTGTTGCAATATGTCACATATTGTCATCTTGTTCAGTTTAGTGTTATCTTGCAACATGTAGTCGTACAAAAATGGCATAAACATGAGAGCCATGAAATAGACAAATTAAAATATCAATGTAAACTAACCTGAAAAGGTACCAGAAAAGACACCTCGTCCCAGGTGGTTCATACTATTAATAACAGCACCAGATGCTGCTATATCTGTCTGTGATGGGTGTACTGGAGGTATTGTAAACGATGTTTGTGATGTGGCTGGTCTACTACAGGGAGGAGGGGTTATAGGGGGTGTTAATGGTCCTGGAGGTATAGGTGTAGAGTGGTTACAAGAAGAGGAGGAGGAGGAAGAAGACAAAGATGCTGTTGTTGAATGTGTTCTTGTAGGAGCTTTAGTTTCTAAGTTCTGAAATGGGAGAAATAAAATTAATTTTACATAGCTATTCTTTTTTTTACTAACTTTTTAGTGGTAACTTCTATTTCAGATGGTTGTAGTTAGTATTTGCAACAAGTCATCAGACTCGATTAAAATCTTAAACCAAAAGATCTCGCTTTGGTTGTTGGAAAAAATTGCCACAAGTTAAAATATCAAACCAAAAGATCCGTTTTTGGCAGATGCAAAAAACTTCAACTTAATCATAATTTTCTAGACAGTATTAATAATCAATGTACCTGATGTTTATTTTTTTCTGTAGATAATTCTTGTAGTTTTTGTGAGAGGTTGCGACTAGCTTCGGCCAGCGAAGCAGGAGAAATGGGTGTAGCTGGTGGAAACAGAGCATGCCCTGTACTTGCTGATGGTTGAGTTGCCATGGATTTTATCGTTTGACGTGATCTTCGACCTGCACACTGTGATGTTGACAACTGTAACTGTACAAACATCATATGATCACCCACTCTCATCGCTAGCAATAGAGGTGCTCGACCTGATAAGAAATCATTTATCTGAAATAACAAAAAAATAAAAACTAAGTTAGTTGAGATAAAATTATTTATCTTAATCAATGAAATGCCATTGACTAGGCGCGATCAATAATTGCCTAATTGATAGCACAGTTTTACAAATCATTCAGAGTTTTATTTGAACACCGCAAATAACATATTTTGTCTGCAACTCCTCAATGTGATATCTACAATTGGATATTTTTCTTTGTTCCGTCCTACTTTACTTTCAAACATTAATTACTAATTAATTATATCTTACTTGTGATTCAGATAAACTTTCGAGAGCCTGAACAACACTGGCATCTGGTCTTTGGAACTGAAAAAGAAAGAAAAAAAAATCAATTCCTTTATTTCTGCTCTCATTTAATTAGGACAAATAATTACAGTAAAAATCTAGCTTCTATTTACGTCTGTCTTATTGGCCAAAACCTATCTTTTTACAAAAAACTCAATTTCAACCAATTGCCATTATAAGTTCAAAGCACGATAGCAATGTAGTAGGTGGGAGGATTATATGTGGTTTAATCAACAAACAGATGAAACGGTAATTAATTAACGATGCTGACTGTAGATAAGCTTAACCAGAAGAAAGCTGTAGATCTATAAGTATATATATAATTAGATCTTAGTTTAACCAGCTAACACTCCCTACACACTCAACTAACATTTCAACCAACTGATTTTTGTAGCCATTACTGCAAGACCAATATATACATATTGTTCCCTGTTGTTTTATGAATTTGCACATTTATTGTTTTCCTGATGTTTATAACACTGTTTATTGACAATTGTTCTATAAACTTTAGGGATTCTTTAATATCAATGTCTGTATAATATTTCATACAAAAAACTGTCAGAAAATGAAAATGAAGATCAAGTATACTTTTGGCATTTCAAAAGAGACTTTAAATATTTCAAATTTAATCACAATAAAGTAGTTGTGTAGATCTAATTAAACAAATAAAAAACATTTGGGATATACATTTGTCTGGTACATAAAAATGAAGTGTTTTCTATGGTTCTTTTCATTTCAACTTAAACCAAGGCAATGGTAGAATCTATAAACATAAGAAAAACAAACCAGTCTATGACGTAAATCAATCCAAAAACAGTGATATTGACTAGCAAGTTGAAAACCAAAATAATTATTAATTTTTATATAACAGTGTAAAGAAATAACTTACATTTGGCATAAAAAATAACTGAGTTATACATTTCTCCATTTGATTTTTATTAGCCTACTTTTATTCAAGAAAAGAACATAAATAGATCTGGTGAGATTTATGAACTCCCACATGAAGTGGATAAACAACAATCTAAATGTATTCTTCGTACATACAAAATACTTTCGACCAGGGAGAAAATGAACAAAACCCCACAACAATAAAGTGAGTGCTAAATAATTAAGAAGATTTATATTACTGTTATTAAGAAGATACATGATAAGTATTTTCCTTTATCTATATAGACTTATTATTTGATAAGTGTAAGTATGTTATTGTGAATCTCACACTGCCTTTATTAAGTGGAGAGTTTGTAAGTGCAATGAAGAAGTGAGACTAAGTAATTAAACTGCCTATGAGTCACCCACAATTATTTGCTATTGATTATAATACATGTATATACTGTATGTAAATAGAGAAAAGTGTTTTCGCCTACACATCAACTATTTAGATTTATCAGGAAATATACCCTTTGACCATAATAGGTGTTGTGTCCTTAAAACTAGGCTTTATTGATTTGGTACACTTGTTATTGATTTGGTCTAGAATGGGATGTGAGTCATAAGTCAATAAAACTCCTTAACAAAGTTTCACACATCACCATACAAAATAGATTGAAAATTGAATGCCAAATTTAAAAAAAAAATATTTTAAAGCTAAAACTTTGTTTAAAGCTGCTTAATATTGGTCGCATTGGGCTTCAGTTCCAAATTACTGCTTTAAGAAATGAACTTATAAATTCAGAAGAAAAAGTAAATATGGTCATGCATAGTTGTCTCATGTGATGCTGAATCTTTAGTATTTAGGTCATAATGAAGTATTTGATTGGCTTGATCTGGTACATATTTGGGTTATGTTTGGTTGGAATAGGAATACACAATCAATATTGGTTTTATCCAAGGGCATAAAATTTTGAACAGAGACTGCCATCCAACAGCACAAATCAATTTATAAAATCGAAAGAAATTGACAATTTCTAGACATATTAAAGTCTAGACATTTTAAGGTTACCCACGATAGACTTGCAATTCGAAATAAATTTATTAATCTACTTCATATGCCTGTGAGCTATTTCATACAAAAACCCCAATGTTTTATAATATTAATGATTTGTGGGAGTCTTTTTCTCAGTTATTGAAGTATATTGGCTTAGGGTATGTTGATTTAATCAGTATCACTCCTAATTTTCATCGACTGTTATAGGATTAAATTAACAATAAATCATTAATTAACTGTTAAATTATAGTAGGCCAACGTATGTTTTGACCTTTTATATCATAATTGTTCTTCAACTAATTACACATTGTGAAAGTTGAATATCAGTCCAAAACGAATAGTTCAAAATGAATAACAGTCCAAAAATAGTTCAATTTACGCATCCTTAGCAGACAATATAAACAGGATATGGTCAAAACAACAGTCCTTAATGTTTATAAAATTGTGCGGGAGCCATAAAAAGCTCCTGATACCTTGAATATATGCAGTTTAAAAGTAAACAAAAACTGAAAGTAGTTTATTAATCTCAATATTTAGGAGAGCTATTTAGCTAATTTGCAGGAGTCTTTAATGACTCCTTCGAAGGAAAGCCGACGTGCGTTGAGAGGAGCAGGAGCAAAAGCCCCCCCCCCCCTTAAACGTGAAGGACTGAAACAACCAGTGCCACCTATAAAGTTTGCTAAAATGTGCCTCTTTTTAATTTGATTTAATCCATGGTGTAAGATCATTTTCATTCATATTTTGATTTTGTTTTCTTAATTAAAATAATGTTAAATAATTGATTTCATTTCATTTTAGCATGGATACTGTCCGAAAAATGCAAATGACAATCTGTGGCCTTAATTATAGGATATTCCTTACAACACACTTTATTTAAAAAAGATATCTGTCTTCATATATCTTTTCTTTGTTCTGCCTAATATTTTCTATGCTAGCATAATCAGGCTAATATTGAAGACAGCTTAGTGCATTAATAACAAAATATCTCTTTTATATCATTATTATTTATATTCCCTAATACACAATGGTATTTCAAAATAGACATTGAAGAAGTTGACTGGGCTAAATATTTAATTTGACTGGCCAAATGAAGTCAAGAATTGAGTGGCAATGTAGGTAAAACGATATATATATACATGGTGATTGATGTATATTGCGCATGTTTTAAATGTGACAAAGTCAGGCTTCCTTGTTTAAAGAAAAATGTAGGTTGCAGTTCTAATACTTACTGTCATTCCACTTTCCATATTTGGTAACAGAGTTATATGACTGGCCTCTCCTATTAGGTTATCGTGTAGTGTACCATTCCGTAAAGTTCTGAAATAAGTTTAAAAAAACTAAATTAAAATACTTTCTTTAATGTGATTCTAAACGAAAATCAATAAGCCATTTTATTCAGTGATGAATCTTTCAGTCATCAATCATTATGAATATTTGATAGACAAGATGTTATCTTGATAAAGGTGACTCATTTTTTAAACAATCACTGGATAGAAGAGGCTACAATTATATATATATATACATGTATATATACATGTGGAATTCTATATAGGGATAAGCATGTTTTTGGGGGTTTTTTTGGCGGGGGGGGGGGGGGGGGGGGGGCGCGTATGAATCAAATAAGCAGTCATATTTCAAACTAAAATGTTTATTCCACAACCTCACTCCTCTTCACTTCTATTAATCACAAAATTGCAACAGCTTGAGAAATGACTCAAACCAATGACAACAGATTCCCAGTGATATGTTAACAACAACTTTAAATGACAACTAAGATTTATCAATTATTGATATTTGGGTGTTGAATACAAAACAACTGGGAAGGATAAATGCAACATCTGAAATATCTTTGACAGTGATGCAGGACTTTTGAGTCAGCCTAGATAGCACTAGCAGCAGTCTTTGGCAGTTTCATAAATGAGCTACAAAACTCAATGTAAAAGAGATCAATTTCAGGGGCTGATCCAATAGAGACCTATTGTCTCTATGGCAATAGAGACCTTGTATTTCTCAAAAAAATTTAACCCCGGAACCTGGCAAACCCCCTCCTGAAAAAATTCCTGGATCCACCTCTGAATTTTCTCTAATCTTTTCAGGGAACTAGGGTAGTAAATATATTCATATATTAAAGTACTTAAGGGTTTATTTTGAAATCTTTGTCTGAAAATGCTAGATATCAACTGATAAAACTATTACTAAGTGAATTTATGGTTAAAAATTATTGCAAGAAATAATAATCCTTGGAAGAATTCGACAAGTTCTATTTCATAACTCCAACAAGGCCATTAGAAATACTTAAGAAGATAAAATGATAAACCATAGCTTGAAACCAAAGTAATATGTAAATACAGCAGGGGAAATGAAGAAGTTTTACATATCCATGAGTGCTGTTATATATCAGGTTTTGGTAAACAGTTAATTTCTCTTGACTTAATTCTGTTGGGATATTTTAAAGCTAAAGATTTTCTCTGAGACACTTTACCATTAAAACATGTACATTAAATGTTATCTATTTGTTGATAAGATTTTGTTACTTGATGATCTTAGAGACTACATGTACAATGAATAAAACATTTTATATTTCAAGTTACATATAAATAGTATAATTATATACAATTTAAGTATAAGATTTAAACCATAATTGTTTTGTTTTATTTGGAACACACAATGTTTTGTGATACTGTTGCCTTGTGGTGAACATAGCAAGAATCATAAAGATATGTGTGGGGGTTGGATGGTCAAATGGTCAGTGCGTTCGCGTTGCATCATAAGGTCTGACATGGTTTCGATTCCCCGGTTGTATGTGACAAGGAGTGGGGTTGCCTGTCCAACCTCGTGGGTTTTCTCCGGGTCCTCCAGTTTCCTCCCACTAAATACCCCTATGCGCAAGCAAATTATTGAAATAAAATTGAACCATGTGTTAGTCCCGAAATGACCTGGTTTGTGTCGAGTGGACGGTAAACCCCATTTTTCTCTCTTTAGTTTGAAAATAACCTCATAAGATTTTGAATTAAAATTCTATCATTTTTGACAATACCTAAGAATTCAACAGTCAAGTTTCCTCACTAGGTAATTTTGTATGCAGTTCTACTACAGATAGACATAATAAATTAATGCTACGCCAACACGGTTTTGTGTACCTATTGAACCTATAAATTGTCCCAGTTTATGCTCTGAAACTGTACTTTCTCTGTAGTCTATTTAATAACAAAAGACACCTATAAAAAATGTGGTTATACGACTTTAATCTGAAGCCAACCAGTACAACGAATAAAGGTTATGAAGGACAGCCAATCAGATTATCATTTTATATTTAGTTTGGATAAAATCTTTGTCCTTATTATATCCTAATTATAATGAGATTAACAAAGGTAAGTTTCCTTTATTTGATTCTTAAAAGCCAGGAACAGGATAGGCTGTAAATATTAGGATAAACAAACTGTTCACAGGTTATGTCCTGTTTAAATCTCCACACAATAAATCACTTCATTGATGAAAAAATTAAGAGAAAAGGGTGTAGTATTACTTGAACATTTTTTCTCTTTTTAAAAACTGTATGTGTTTCACAAAGTATTTGTTCTTTTATACAGAGTGTAGATAAGTGCTTTTATCATCCTATCCATGAACATAGCAATGGTTTTAGACAACAAATTGACGAATTTTTGTTTAATTTCAGCAGTTTCAAGTATTTTAAAATTTTCAAAAGGGTATGCAAATATATTTGAAAAGTGTGTACACTGACACTATACAGAAAATAACCTTTTTTTGAAGACATATTAATATTGTACTAAATATGCCATTACTGAGTATCCTTACTAACCACTCAAACACACAATAAAATCATCTTGACTGACAGAGTAATAAATTTCTCTGTTTCTCATCAAACTTCTGTATTAAGGAACGTTAGTACCATATAGTTATTGATTAAGTTAGGGCAATACATTTTCTTGCTATGTTTTTTTTCAATATGTCATGAATATATCTGAATATATTGACCAAACTAATGCCTCAGCTCCTCTATATAACTGGGTTGATTATCAAACAGACAATTTTATAACAAATCAATCTAACAAGCAGAACCATAATTAGGCATTCTATAGAAAACTTGTGGTCAAGGTCTGTAACATTTCACATGTTTCAAAACCACTTGAAAACTTTTCTTCTATCAAAATAGATTTTGCTTCAGAGTGTTAAAAATAAAATTTTACACAAGCCACCTGTTTGAAAAAAAAAAGAAATTTTTGTGTATTTAAATCCAGTTCTTTGTCAGTCATCCGATTAAAATTTTCACATGCATTGTATTGCATAAGACTTTCTGAGGTTATTTGCATGACGTTCTGTTGTATACAAGAACAGCTAGCTAAACTGTGAAAAATTGAAGAGCCACTCAATAAGTTTCGTACTTACCACATAAGTCAGTAAGTCTAGCTTATTTGGAAAAAAAGTGATTACAAGATGTTTACTGGATCCATGACAAATGAGAGAGACAACAAAATATAACCATATATTTATATAACATGCCTTGCATGATTAAAAAATGTTACAAATCCTGCAAAAAGTTTGCGTGTGTACTTGCTAAGGAAAGAACATTGCTCAATAAGTGTGAATTGTGTAAGACCTGTAATTTAACACACAAGACTTTACATATCAATCAGCGCAATACACTATAGCACTGACTGACATTCAACCATATAGATTAACAGTATCCAATAACACCATAATCTCATTGTTTGTATTGATTGCATTTCTAATGTATAAATAATAACAATTGTTGCAATGTGCAATTCTTTGAGGACATTTCGCAATGTTTCCTTCTCTAACATTTATTAAATTAGTTACCCTGAAATTGTTCTTGTATTCCAGTAAGTCATTTCTGGAACTTGTGTCATGTATCAGGAACCATGATAACAAAGTATTGTTTAATAGCAGAGAGCATACTTGAACCTAATAAACTTATTGGAAATTTATAATTTTATAAGGAGAAATCATGCCAAGTTGAGTCATAAAAGAATTTAAAATGCTAAAAGTCAAGAGTTAAATCATGTAAATATTAAGACTTTCTAAATATCAGACAATCAATTAATGTCAAGAGACCTGAGATTTATCTCAAACTTTAATGTGCAATATTGTCAGAATTTTTCTGAAAGTTGTTTTAACCATAGGTAAGGAAATAGGAAAGGGTATCAACATTTTTAGCATCATATAAGAAAGTACACAATGGATGTACACGTGACCAAAATTGTTCTTTCGAAATGCATTACAATACTTAACTATCTATTCAATAATGGTTATTTATTTATTTCCTGAATGGCAGTAAATCTAACACAATGCAAATGTAGTGCAATAACCAAATAATGCATTCATTTGCATACTTGTATATTGCAACACTACATATAGGTACAGTTATTTGCAAGATCTTATGTAAAAAAAAAGATTAATAACTGGTGCATATACAACAATATGTCTGTCCAGTTTTTCTCTTGTGATATATTATAGGTAGAAAATATGGTAGATGTTACAATAAATAAAACATTGTGTGGTATAGCTAATTCTTTATCATAAACCAAACAATCAGATGTTTGACCTCATATTGCTCCTTTCCACCCACTCCCTTCAGATCATGTGATACTGTGCTTATCTATTTGATAAAAGCCACATAAAAACTTCTTCCTTGTATATGTATGTATATATATTTATATAATTGCATAAATATTGACAGACCTTATGATGCAACGTGCACGCGGTAACCATTCGGCCATCCAACCCCCCTTATGCAATAAGACAATCAATCATACCTAAATTTTTCTTTTGATAGATTTGATATTTTATTTTTTTTAGTTTAGCACTAAATTAGATTTCTAAGGTCCTTAAGTTTGCAATGCAAAGAGAATATTAAACAACTGTATAAATGACCTTGTGGTCAGATTACCATTTCGGACATGTATTGATCTATTAGATATACAAATACCTAAAGGACTATACAATCGTATATCACATTAAAACCACCCACACTATTTATTGACCTCTCTTTGACCATCGTCCAGGGACTTAATTACAAAAGCTGATTGAATCCATGAAATTAACTTAACACATGCAAGAAATGATATATGTTATGTAGGAGAAAGCAAGGAGTTACATGTATGCTTCTAAAAAAAATCAAAAATCATTTTTTTCTAAGTATGGACCTATATGATTTAAAGTCATCCGAAGAAATGTTATCTATTTAAATGTTATGTAGATTGCAAGTTTGTGGTGAAAGAGTTGCTTTGGTTCTCACTTCTACTTTATATCAATCCACTGAAACTAACTGATTATCT